TGCGTCCCTCCTGGATGTTGTTTCCCAATTCTTTCTCTTGATTAGGGAAATTTTCCTTGATTATTTTATTAAATACATTTATAAAACCAGTTTCTCTTTCTGCACCTTCTGGGACTCCCATAACTCCTATATTTGGCCTCTTAATAGTGTCTTTCAATTCTTGAATACTTTTTTTAGCTTGACCCAGCTCAGCTTCCCGCCATTTGTTTCCGCCTGACGACAGGAAATATCTTCCAATGCTGAGATTCTTTCTTCTGCTTGTTTCATTCTACTTTGGAGACTCTCTACTATACTTTTAATTTGCTCTACTGTGTTCTTAATTTCTGATATCAGCCTTGATTTGCTTTATTGCTTCCTTAAAATTTTGAACTCTTGCATGTGCTTCTCATTGTTGATCAGAAGCTTTAAAATGAGTTTTCTGAATTCTGTATCCCCTAATTTCTCCATGTCTTCCTCAGTGAACACTGAGGTTGGCAAAGGATTTTGCTCCTTTGCAGGGAAGTCTTCAGTAATACTCACTGTGCCTCTGTCTCTTGTTTTGCTCTTGGTCATTGTACTTCTGGTTAGCAGATTCATCTCTTGGAGTAGGTTGCTAAGCTGTGTCACCCACAGGTCTACAGTTCGATTGGTACACAACTCTTTGTTTGCAGTCACTTCTGCTACAACCTCCAGTGAGTTCCAGGTCTGGGTTCTTATTTTAGGTTTCCGTCATGGTCTCTGTAGCCCCAGCTTCTCGCTCACCAGTCTCCACCTTCTGTGCTACCTTGCTGAGGCTGCACTGTTGTCTGTACAACCTTTCTCCCACTTCTAGTTCCAGCAGTTCCCAGGATTAGAGAGACACCAGGTGTCCTGTATACCTCGGTTGTTGTTGGTGCTGATCTTGTCAGAGCCTATTGGCCGTTAGGTCGGAGGGCCATACGTATCCTTTTTGACCTGAACAAATTCGTAGTCATTATTATTTTCCTGCGGGACCAGTGCAATGCACTGAGCTCAGTGAATTCTTGCCAAGCTCAGCACATGCGCAGCTCACTGTTGTCCTCTGCAGTCTTAAATTCTTTGCCACACCATACTAAAAGGCGCCTGATGTTTCACTACTAGAGTTCTTGATCTGCTGGCCTCAGGTCTGAGGGCTACCCAGACCTATCTTGGGGATGGAACCTGTAGGATGCCACAGTGTTGCAGTTCACTGAGGCAGAAATGAGTTCACTCCCAATTCAGTGCATGCGCAGTCCTGCCCCATCGCTTTTGCCTCCTTAAACAAGATGGCACCCAGTTTGGCTTTAGGAGGCTGACTGGGCTGTGAAATCCACCCTGTTCCCGCACTGCCCATCTGGGACCTGCTCCTCTGTCTCTGCTTCTGGTCAAACCAAACAGACCAGCAGAAAGAGCAGTTGTTTATAAGTTAATGTCATGTATAGCCAGAATTAACCCCCATTATGACTATATCTTGCTAGTCTGAATATTTACAGAAAACTGTCAGACTTTGCTGGGCACTTTTTTTTTTTTTTTTTTTTTGTCTTTTTTTATTATTGCTGGGTACTTTTTGATATGCATTTCTTTTTTTAATTAGAAAGTAGATACAGAGAGTAGGAGATAGCAAGAGTATGGTCTTTGCTCTGTTGATTTACCTTCCATGTGGCTCAAATGGCTGGAGCTGAGCTGATCCAAAGCTACGAGCCAGGAGCTTTTTCCAAGTCTCCCACATGGGTGCAGGGTCCCAAGGCATTGAGTTGTCTTCAGTTGTCTTCCCAGGTCACAAGCAGGGAGCTGCCGGGATACAAACCAGTGCCTTAGTGGGATCCTAGGGCATTGAAGGTGAGGATTTAGCTACGTGGCTACTGTGCTTTTTCCAGTATGCATTTATTTCATTATTGCCTGTTAGGATGTTCATTTTCATGAAGCAGAAAGTAGAAGGGGAGATAAGACTAGAACCCAGGCACTTGGTGATGAGATGCAGATATCCCAAGTGACAACTATATCACCAAATATGTGTGTTTGTAACGGTCTTAGCTCCAACATAAATGTTTTGAATTTAAATGTATTTTTAAATGTTTGTTTCATGGATGTATTGCTACATTCAAGTGATGGCATGGGAAAGAATGGGGGTGAAAAAGGGAAGTAAGGGAAAAGACCCCCACCCTCCCTCTGGTGACTCTGCAGCAGGGAGAATGGAAGGGTATGTAAGATACTGCACCACTGCTTGCTGCCAGATCACATCAGCACCAGAGGACCCTGATCTCTACTGATTTCGCCCCAGGGACCCTGATGGGGGAAGAGTCCTGAGGATGTTGCTTGAGTAGTCTTAGTTGTTCTGAGCTGGGTTTGGCTTCCTTGCACCAGATGTGAGATACCACTTTCCCTATTTGCTAGCTGGCTCGCTGTTTTGGTGTGTCCATAGCCTTAAATACTAGATGGAGAATTTGGCCTCTAGTGTTGTTCAACCTGTTCTTTCCATCCTTTGGTGAGCCACTCAAGGGCTTCTGTTGAATCAGGTAGACTAGCTGCCCTGTCTTTCATGTATATTCCAGTATGTTTTGCCTTACACATAGTCAGCAGCCAAACAACATTTGCTTCAAAGCCAGACCAGATGACCATGTTAGGGTTCCTTGAGATTGGGAATCCCATGGCATGGACCCATCAGGCTGACTTCTAAGAGACCCTACTGAGTTGGTCCCCAGACTTGGCTTCAGGGCACACTGCAACTCAGCCCAGTCTGTGCCCATACCTGGCTCTCATTCTTGTGAGTGGCTGCTGCAGGCTTTCCCATCCCATTCACAGATGCATCCCTAACTTTCTTCAAGTTAGAGTTGCCACCTAGTTGGCAGATTGCTGAGGATACCTTCTAGACCGACCTCCAGAATCAACTCTCATGCTTATGTCAGCCGCAGCTGCTGTATCCCAACCCAGTCTGTCCAACCCCTATTGCTGGTTCCTGCATGAAGCAAGGGGTGCCTTTGCTTCTTAAACTCAGCTCTTGTGTGTCCACATGCCACTGAGTGCTGTGGCCTGGCCCATCCTATCCCTGACATGTGCACCATGGGTGTTGCGGCCTGGTCTGGCCTACCCACCAGACCTGGTTCTTACTGCACCTGCTGGAAAACCCCCTGAGTACCTTGACCAGGCCTGGCCTAAGCTGCAGCTTGCTCTGCCCAGACCTAGCTCTTATATTGACTAGTGGGTTCTGCAACCTAGCCTAGACCAGTTCAGCCTGCCCCATGCCCAGGCTTTTGCATGTAACTGTGGATGCTACAGTCTAGCCTAGCCCAGCCCAGCCCAGCATGCGCCCAGACCTGGTTCTTGTGCATGCTAACAGGTGTTGTGACAAAGCCTCATGTGGCCTACCCCCAGTCCCAACACTCGGTGGTGGTGCTACAGCCTAGCTGGGGTGACCCTAAAGAACCCCTACCAGACCTACCCCAAATACGACTATTGTGAGCACTGGTGGATTCTGTGACCTAGCCTGACTTGGTCCTCCCCGAACCCTGGCTCTTGTGCACATGATCTGATACTTGACCCTGCCTGACCCAGGGAGGATCTCCTTTCTGATCTACCCCATCTCAGCACCTTTGATTAGCTGTAGATGCAGTGACCTGACCCCAGAAATCATTTTATATGTCAAACAAGCCCTCAATGGTCCCTATTCTGGTCCATCCCCGGTCCGCTTTTCCTTACCAGTATACCCTTCTCCTTGTGCTCGTGGAGATGGCAGTGGTGTAGGGTGTACCTGGTTGGTGAGCACACATGGTGGCACAGCAGGCTCTCTGCCACCTTCTCCCAGTATCTTAAGAAAAAAAAAATAGGCACTATATTGACACACTGGTATAGTTATCAGAGCGGGCATTAATAGCCAGCTCCATTGTTGGCTGCTTTTCTCCCAGCAGTGATAACACTTGCCAAGATACAAAGGCAACCTAGGCAGTTGCCTGCAGCTGGGCACCACTTATATATGTAGGGTTTTTGCTTATAACTTGAGGGTCCTCCATGCTAGCGTAGTGGATGAAGTCCTTGCCTGGTGTGTACCAGGATCCTATATGGGCTCCGGTACATATCCCAGCTGCTCCACTTCCCTTTCAGCTCCCTGCTTGTGGCCTGGGGAAGCAGTAGAAGACAGCCCAAAGCCTTGGGACCCTGCACCCTGGCTTCAGATGTGTTCAGCCTGTTTGTTGCAGCCACTCGGGGAGTGAACCAGCAGATGGAAGATCTTTCTGTCTCTGCTTCTATCTGTAAATCCAACTTTCCAAACAAGTCTTTAAAAAAAAAACTTACTTGAACTGTCATATACAGTAGTCTCAGTTTCTGAAGGATAGAAACTCTGCTTTACTTATTTTTTTTTTTTAATAATTTTTTTATTTGAAAGGCAGGTTTTACAAAAAGACACAGAGGTTTTCCATGTACTGGTTCACTCCCTAGATGGTTGCAACACATGGAGCTAATCAGATCTGCATCCAGGGGTGGCAGTTTCTACTTTCCCACGTGGGTGCAGGATTGCGTCCTTTGCTGTCTTCACTGCTATGAAAGGGAGCTGGATTGGAAGTGGGACAGTCATGACACACTAGCACTTACAGTGCTCGTTTAATAACATTTTTTGAAATAGGACACGTGTGAAGTTTGTTTTTTCTAGTGAAGAGGAATTATGGTTCAAGTGAGAAGGTTTTACCTGATGCTTATTTCTCTTTCAGTTCTAAAGTTCTGTAATACTAGCATAGGTTTTTTTCCTCTGGCTCATGGCTTTGTTGTAACAGCCTTGCTATTACAGGCATTTGGGGAGTTATTCAGAGGATGGAATATCTCTATCTCTGTCTTTTAAGTGAATAAATAATCCTTTTTTGCTTAAAAAAAAGCCAACGAAAAATAAAATGTTTAGATCATTTAGCTCAGTATTGTACAAGTTAATATATTATCAAAAATTCCACAGATTGTTACTGTAGCAGATATGTGTGTAGAGTTTTATTTTTGTCTTACCTATTAGTAAGCACCACTTCTTTTGTTTTGATAAATAGGCTACATCTAAAAATCAGACTTCACTCCTGGGAGAACCACCAAAAGAAATCCGGCTCAGTAAAAATCCGTATTTGAATTTGGCAAGTGTGTTGCCCAGTGTATGCTTATCTTGTAAGTAAGGGCTCTCAGAATTTTATTGTAAACTTGCTATAACTGAGTTTAATTTTGACTCAATGAAAACAAATACTACCTGTTGACATGTTAAGCCCTTTATCATAACCCTATTGATTAAACTGGGAAAAAAAAAAAAGAACTAAAGTTTAAGACGGTAGGTATTAAAGATTTTTTATGCTATTTCTATAAAGAATATAATGTTTATTGAATCATGGTTGAAAATAATGGGAGCAAAAGAATTATTTGGAGTTGATGTTTGATTGATTGATTGATTTTTTTTGTGAATCATAGGTTTAAAAATCTCAGCAATCTAGTATATCAGTAGTGTATGAGCTACTCTAAAAAGGGCTGAGCAACAAATCAAAATACAATTCTTACTTACTTCCCCTTCCTCCTTCAGGTAGTATAAATCAGCTAGCATTCAGTTTTGTGGGAAGAATCACAAATGTGTGCTCTAGGCACAAAGATATCAACTACAAGTATATCAGTATTTATTATTGGAGGTGGTTAAGTAAATAACTCAAAATGAAATATCACACAACTAAATTTAATTGAAGGATATCTGCATACAAATAACTTCTATGAAATTATCTCTAAGGCAGTTTGACCTACAGGCACTTTTGACTGCAGATGCATGAAAAGCAAATCTGGGAAAATAAGTCTATAAATTGTGACCTCAGAAAAATTGACTTCCTTTTATATCTTTTTTATGAAATAACTTCCTGAAAAATTAAAATGTGTTTCTAATATGACCACCATTTTTACAAAAATATACATATTGACAATAAATACTGTGTATTGGTCGGGTCTGAACATTGAAAGCAACAGCTGTTCTAGTAACAAAACACTTATTTCACTTTTTTGTACCTCTTGTTTTAAAGATTAGATATATAAACAGTTTCTAGTTTTTCTTGTTTCAAACAAATGAAGCAGTATCATATACTACATCTAATTTCCTTTGGATAAAATAAACATAGATAAAATGCAAACTAAGATTTGTATTGTGTGTTAATGAGTTTTGCATTCTGTTTATAATTTGCAAAATGTATTCTGAATAAAATGTGTTAATTTTGTCTTTAGCCCTTGCAAATAAAACCAGTTTACATAAGACTGGAATTGGAGGCAACTTTCTGGATGCATTCTCTCACAGAAGCGAATCACAACATCCATTGGAAAAGTGTGTTTCTTACTCTCCACCTTATGGTGATTATGGACATGTAAGTGATTTTCTGGTACTTATAGTATATAAAACATTGATTAAACTATATAGAGTTTACTGAATTTGAAATCACATTTCCTGTAAATACACAAAGTGGCAGTGATCCCTGGAGGATTTCTTGGCTCACCATTCAAATTTTTAAAAATTTTGGCATGTTTAATAACATTTTGTATTAGATGACAGCCTCTCATCTTTTATACCAGTATTTGGCGAATTGTAGCCCAAAGATCAAATGGAGCTTCCCAAATGTATTTATAAGTGACGTTATATTAAAACATAGCCATGTCAGTTTACTTAGATGTTTTCATACTATAATGAAACAGAATTAAATGATCACAACAGACTATACACTTTCAAGATTCATTATTTACTCCTGGCTCTTTAGAGGAAGTCGGCTGACCTGGTTTACTCTGTGTAAGGTGAAGAAACCCAAAGATTTTCCTCTGATTTTATAAATGCATATAGTTGTAAGTTGCAGAACACATATAGCCATGTGATTCTAACTTTTAGACTAACCAGTAACTCTTAGTTTTGAAAGATATACTGCCACTAGGCTGCTGTGCCAACCTGAGGATAACGTTTTAAAAATTTTATACTTGGGATAGCATTCACTGTGAAGTAATGGTTATAAATTAGTAAGACTTATAAGCAGTGGCTTAAAATACATTCAGAGAATTAAAGGAAACTGTGTCCAACAAACTAAAGTATGAGATTAATTTTGCCAAATGTTGAATAACCAGTAGAGAAAGAATCAGATAGAAATCTAGGAATTGAAAAGTACAGTAACTAAAATGAAAACAGGCTTTCAGCAAATTTGAACAGGCATGACAGTTAATAAACTTGGCATAGAGGTCTATTGAGATTAGTCAGAAACAAAGGAGAAAAATGAGCTAAACATTTATAGGTGGGGATGTAGAGAAGGCAGAATCTGTACATCTCTCAGGAGGATGTAAAATGATGCAGCTGCTCTGGAAAACAGTCTGGCATTTCCCCAAAATGTTAACATAGAAATAGAATTATCATAAGCCAGAATTCTATTCCTATTATATAACAAAGAGAATTGAAAGCATGCCCACACACAGATATGTTACCAAGTTCTCGGAGCACATTATTCATAATAGCAAAATAGGGTGACAACCCAAATGACTGTTGTTTGATGAATGAATAAAACATCATTCAGTTGTATGAAGGAATGAAGTATTGTCCCATGCTTTAAAAGAAGGTGACCTTGAAAATGTTTAAAGTGAAATGAAAAAGGTCACGTGTTATGATTTTATTTGTGTGGAATTTCATAGAAAAGATATAATAAGCAGATGCAATGGCTCAAAGATTTGCCTGCAAGTACTGCCCGTTGTGTGCATACAGGTTCATGGCTCAGCTGTTGCACTCCCATCTCTATCCCTGCTTACAGCCTGGGAAAGCAATGGAGGATGACCCAGGTGCTTGGGATCAGATCTTGTACCTGTGTAGGTTTCCGGTGGGGCTCCGGGCTCCTGGCTTCAGATCAGCTTCTTTTTCCCCCATTAGTAAAGCAAGTAATAATAGGTAAAAGTTTACTTTTCAATTTGACATATTAACTCCATTAATGTAAGGAACAATTTGAGAGATTTTAGCTGTTTCATGTGACTGTTTAAAAAGTGATTTTGAGTTTGATTTTGTTACTTTGATTTAACACTTGGCCATCAACTGGCATGTGGTATAGCAGTACTCTTTTTCATGCTGTACTTTTAGGTTACCTTGGTTACAGGGATCTTTCTTTCCAGGAGACTTCCTGTTCCAGTTAATTAGCCACTGAATGTATGATGAGGTGGTACAGAAAAAGAAAAATAGAGAACAAAAAGACCTGGACAATCTTGGTCTCTTCCCACTGTAAGGGCTTATGCTGCCACCTTGTGGCTAATTATTACAGACTTGTCCCACAGCACAGTATGTGCAAATGAGTACTGTACAGATTGTGATTGGGACCATGATAGATCAGAATCTTGTTAGAAATATTTAACGTATGAAAAAAAAATTTTTTTTAACATAAACCTACTTAAGCAATACTTATAGGAGCACAGGTTATTTTCATATTAATACTAAATAATAACTGAAAAAAGTACTTCCAAAAAACTAATTTTGGGACTGGCATCGTGGCATAGCACATTAAGCTTCTGCATGCAACACCACCATCCCATGTGGGTACTGGTTTGAGTCCTGGCAGTTAAACTTCCAATGCAGCTCCCTGCTAATGTGCTTAGGAAAGCTTGGGCTGTTATACCCTTGTGAGAAACCTGCTCATTGTGGCAATTTGGCAAGTGAACCAGTGGATAGAAGATTTGCTGCTTATCCTCTTTCTGTAACCTTGCCTTTCAAATTAAAAAAGAAAAAAGATTAATTTTGTTAATAAAAATTAAGAAAAGTAAGGGTTTCAAATAAATTAAAAGTTATTTAAAATCTGATTATAAGCCAAGTTGGTCTTTTAGATTATTCAAAATAGCAATGAAATAATAATATATAAGTAAATCTGAAGAAAGTTTTACATTGCTGTTCTGAGTGTTAGGCTAATTTTCCAGAGGGACTTTATATTATTATTATTAGTATTATTGTGCTTCTTTTTTTTTTTTTTAAAGATTTATTTTAATTATTTTTTCATTGGAAAGGCGGATATACAGAGAGGAGAGACAGAGAGGAAGATCTTCCGTCCGATGATTCACTCCCCAAGTGAGCGCAACGGCCAATACTATGCCGATCCGAAGGCAGGAGCCTCTTCCGGGTCTCCCACGTGGGTGCAGCGTCCCAAAGCTTTGGGCCGTCCTCGACTGCTTTCCCAGGCCACAGGCAGGGAGCTGGAAGGGAAGCGGGGCTGCCGGGATTAGAACCGGCGCCCATATGGGATCCCGGGCGTGCAAGGCGAGGACCTTTAACCACTTGCGCCACCGCACCGGGCCCTGTGCTTCATTTTAAAAAAGTATTTATTAAGCATACTTAAATTGAACGTCTATGATTTGTTCAGCTTGGTGTGTACCCTAAAACTTCTGAGGTGAATGGGTTTATCTTTTTTTATTATTTAGATTTATTTATTTTTATTGGAAAGGCAGATATACAGAGAAGAGGAAAAATAGAGAGGAAGATCTTCCGTCCAATGATTCACTCCCCAAATGGCAACCAACTGCTGGAGTTAAGCCAGTCCGAAGCCAGGAGCCAGGAGCTCTTCCAGATCTCCCATGTGGGTACAGGGTCCCAGGGCTTTGAGCCGTCCTTGACTGCTTTCCCAGGCCACAAGCAGGGAGCTGGATGGGAAGTGGGGCCGCCGGGATTAGAACTGGTGCCCACATGGGATCCCAGCGTGTTCAAAGCGAGGACTTTAGCTGCTAGGCCACACCGCCGGGCCCTGAGTTTGTCTTTTTAATTGTAGTAGAACATTTTTTGGGGAATGAAGTATTAAATTTAAAGTCAGAGTAATTATTTATGCAGAAAGACAAGTAGGTGATGGCCAGCAAAAGATTAACATGAAAATTGGGAACCTCTATGCGTATATACATGAGTGAGAGATTTTGTTACATATACTATCGTTGTCAAAAACTGAAGCATATTTTAAAATATTTAATGAGGAAAGAAAATTATCTTTTAAAGCAAAATTTTAAAAAAATATTTATTTATTTATTTATTGGAAAGGCAGATATACAGAGAGGAGAGACAGAGAGGAAGATCTTCCGTCCAATGATTCACTCCCCAAGTGAGTGCAACGGCAGATGCTATGCCGATCCGAAGCCAGGATCCAGGAACCTCTTCCAGGTCTCCCACGCGGGTGCAGGGTCCCAAAGCTTTGGGCCGTCCTTGACTGCTTTCCCGGGCCACAGGCAGGGAGCTGGATGGGAAGTGGAGCTGCCGGGATAGAACCGGCGCCCATATGGGATCCTGGCACGTTCAAGGTGAGGACTTTAGCCGGTAGGCCACGCCGCCGGGCCCTAAAGCAAATTTTAAGTGTGAAATATAAAAACCACTTGGCACTATCAGAAAATGGATAGTAGGGCTGGCATGATTCCTCAACTAGCTAATCCTGTACCATGAAGTTCCAGCATCCCCCACAGACAGCAGTTTGTGTCCCAGCTGTGAAAAATGGAGGCCTTGGGACGCTGTACCCATGTGGGAGACCTGGAGGAGGCACTTGACTTTAGATGGGCTCAGCTTTGGCTGTTGCAGTCATTTGGAGAGTGAACCAGTAGATGGAAGAAAGCTGTTCTTCTGTCTCCTATTTATAAATCTGCTTTTCCAATAAAAATCTTAAACAGCTTTAAAAAAGAAAAGTAAAATCAAAAATAAATGGGCACTAATAGGGAAGTCACTAAGGTCCAGCTGATCATACTGTGGCTTGGGAAGCCCATATCCCACAATCAAAGTGTGTGATTCAATTTCTGGCCACTGTACTTTCGTGCCAGCCTTCCTACTAGTGTACCTGGGAGGTGGTAGATGATGGCAAGAAGTTGAGCTCCGACCACCTTTGTTGGGAGAGCAGTAGAGTTCCTGGTTTCAGTCTCACACCACCTTGGCTGTTGCCAAAATATTTGTGAAATGAACTGTCAGATGGAAGAGGTGTGTGTGTGTTCTTCATATTTCCCACTACACATCTCAAGTAAAGCTTTGAGAGGGAGAGCTATGCTAGGGATTTGACTCAGATTCTATAGCTAGTGCTGTGCAATGAACTGGGGAGTGCATGTATCTTTTTCATGTAAATTCATTTTTTTTCAGAAATATACCTTGAAGTGGGATAGCTGAGGTCATGCGGAGTTTTAGATTTTCAGGGAAATCACCATGCTGTTCTCCATAAAGGTTATACTACCTATAATGAAAGTTCTCTTTTCTCCGTACCTTCAGTAGCATTAGTTACATTTGTCTTTCGAGCATAGTGATTCTAACTGGAATGAGATGATACCCCATTGCAATTTTTAATTTTCCTTGAAAGAGTATGGCAGATACTTTGGTAACTATTATAAATGGGGTAAGTTTTAGGATTTTCATGTTGTACATTCCATACTGATAAAGTGCTGATTTTTGCGTCATTTTATATCTTGCACCTCTGAGTTGATAAGATTTCTTATATATAGAATTACATTTTCTGCAAACAGGGTTAATTTGATTTTCTCCTTTTTTATTTATGGGCTCTTCAATGTCCTCCTCATGCCTAACTGCTGTGTAATTCCAGATCCGGGGAACGCTTTGTCCTGTCCCATGAGGTGGTGGCTCTGGGCTTGTCATATACTGCCTCTGTTTACATCAAAGTGTGTTCCTGTTTTACCTAATTTGTTTGTGCTGAAGCATTGATTTTGTGTTAAGATTTATTTACTTGAAAGAGATTGCTTTCCCAGGTGCATTAGCAGGATGCTGGATAGGAAGTGGAGTAGCTGGGACAGGAGCCATGGCCCATATGGGATGCTGGCTCCGCAGATATCAGCCTTCAAATGTTGAATTTTATCAAACACTTTGTATCTTCTGAGATGATCATATCATATCTTTATTGGAAATTCTGTTGTGGTGGGCTGTACTTCATTATTTGCAAATATTGAATCGTCTTTGTGTCCATTGATGAATCTACTTGATCATGATGTATGATTCTCATTAGTTTTGAGAAATTTTGTATCTGTTTTTATTAGGAATATTGGTCTGTAGATTTTTCTTCTATGGCTTTGGAATCAAACCTCATAGAATGAGTTTGGAAACCTCCTTTTCCTTTACCATCAACTTTGGATTATTGGGTGGCATTTGGCGTGGATGTGAACAGCCAGAGCGTTCATAATGCTTTTCTTTTCCCAAAATGTGTGGGTATCAGGTTGTTGCAAGAGTTCCCACAAGTGATGTGATACAGAAATCTAAAAACCCAGTTTGAAAAAGGAATTTGTGTAAACTTTTTTGATGGCTTTGATATTAACTCTGCTATTCTGTATTTGATGAACCTGAAATAGAATGTTAAGTATGAATAAATAAGCCAGTTTTACTTTAGAGTTAACATGAACTATGGTTTCTTTTCTCATAGGCACCCCCTTTAAGAAAAGAAAAACGAGGCTCATCCTATCTCATCTCTGCCCCAGAAGGTGGTCCAGGGGAATTCGGTCACCATCATCGTCGGGGCTCAAGAGCGTATTACATGGAAACCTATTTTAAAAAAAAGCGAGTGTACTGAGTTAAGCTCTCTCCTTACAACCTCTTAAGGTTCTTGCAGTATCTTTGTTGTTCATCGCTGCCTTAACCTCATTCAGACTAGCCATATCCTTTAAATACGGGTTTATGATTTCCCAGAAGTAACTGTGTTGTGCAGCAGGCAGAATTGCCAAATTGAAAAAAAAAAAGTTTAAGTAGCAATAAAATATCAATTGAGGCCGTTTTCCACTAAAATTAGGCACTTCTTAGTCAATGTGAAAGTAACCTGCAACCCATTGGAGAAACAGCATTCCAATATTTCATGTTTTAGAACTGAGAATAATTTTAATGCCATATATTAAAGTCTGAAGCAATAAATGGGAAAAGTCTTGTTTCTTCAACCTTTAAGTTTCTTACTATCCAATGTGCATTTCAATTTAAAAGATTTTTCCTAGAATTACATGGGTGCAAGTACCAGATTTGGTGATGGTAATGTAAAGATGCTCCAGATATGCTCAGCTATACTGAAAGTCCCTTAATCCAGCCTAACCGAGTGATTGTAATGGCCAACATATACACTGCTATAAGGCTTTACTTTTAAAATTTATTTGCCATTTGTATCTTTTATGAAAAATAAAAGCAGCTTTGGTGATCCAGTATAATATGGGGGTTGGCAGACTATACCTGGGGCCAAATTTGGTCCACCACATATTTTTCTGCTGCCTGCAAAGAATGTTTACATTTTTAGAAAACTTAAACATGAAATTTCTATGAAACTCAAATTTCAGTGTCCACAAATAAAAGTTTTATTGAAACCCAGCCATGCTCATTCATTTCCATAGTGTCTGCGGCTGCTTTTGTGCTGTAATGACAGGGCTGAGTAGCTTTAACGGGGACCATGTGGCTTGCAAAGCTTCATATAGTTATCTGGCCCTTTAGAGATTTTTGCTGACCCCTAACCTAGTGGCTCTCATTAGAGAATTTCTTTTATTTCACCTAAAAACTGACATTTGGGACAGACTTGTAAGTGGCAAGGAACAGATTTCTGTGGCTCATTTTGCAGTATACCTGATTACAAAGACAGAGCCTCTTTGATCATTAGCTTCCCTTTGTCCCACAGAACAGTGAAGCAGTCAGTACTGCCCTTTCCAAAGGAATCCTAAATAGTATTTATAACTATTTTAAGCTAATAAGCTATACCTCAGTCTCTGCTTTGTCTCTGACTCTTTGGTATTATATTAGGCTGGAAAAGAAATACCAGCTATTTAATCCAATTTACTTCTGAGTTTTTGTCTTTATTACACACAGCTATTGGCATCACTATTTCCTGAAGATCTTGGTGTTAAATGCATGAGAAACCTTTTTCCATCTAGAAATTTCTTCCTAAGTTTGTTTATTGTTATGAGATTGTAATTGATGAAATTTGGAGTCTCAGTGATTCTACTCTTTTTGAAATCAGATTATTAAATACCATTTTTGGAACTGTTTTTGAGTATGATATAGATACCTTGTTTTAATTATGAAGTAAAAAATTGGTACATGTTGTATGCTTTGTAAAAAAAAAAAATTGGTCGATTTTTTTGCCTACACTCGTTTATAGCCAATTTCTAAGTAGTACTACTTATAAATAGCTGATCATGATTAAGGCATCACTCAGTTATGCAGTAGATGGCTAGTGGCTTCTCTATGCCCGGTACTTCTTCCCATTGAGTCTCTTCACTGCTTGGTCACACCACTGCTATAAAGCAATCTGAGGAAAGGGAGGATGGTGACCTACATCAGAGCTGCAAAGACAAAGCAGGGAGACGGTGAAAGAGCTCAGATGTTTTGGATTATAGCACATGTGAATTCGCCATCCACACTTGGCCTGTCCCATTTTCATTGGACATTAACAGAGAAGTGCAAATCAAGTGGTGTTAGTAATAAGGACCATCACCACCACCCCAAATCTATACTGTTATTTTCCTATGTAAGTGAATTGTTTGAAATGCTTTGACAATCTTAATATTAAAAGGCGTATGCATGTAAAGTCTTTAGTATATTTATTTGTATAAACAGTAAAGAAAGTGCAGAGAGTGGCCACAGGTTTGACATGGAAAGAACCCTCAGTGCTAGAGGACTGTACAACAAATTTAAATGGCAAGTTTATTACTGCCATTGAGTCATGCCTGAACTTTTTTTTTTTGACTCAAAGTGAAACATAAGGTGACACATACTAGCCAATATTAAGAAAAAATTTCACACACTCTTGGTTCATAAAGAATTTTGTGGTTCACACTGAGTCAGACTTAAATATTTTTGATTACCCAGTTTAGTGGATTGTGAACTCCATGGTGCTTCCTAGCTGGGTCTTCAGGATGTACACCGCAGTGTCAAAATACTGACTGCTCCTTGTTATTGGGTGGGATTTTGAAACACTCAAGAACAGTGTATGGATGTGGTATTTATTCTGACTGGTTGCATACAGCATCAAAAATCAGTGCTGGAACAGCTTGCCCGAAGTGATAGTTTAGAAAGCGTATACACTGAGATATCTTGAAAGCAGGTATAATAGCATCCAGATTCTGAGAGTCCATTCTGATGACGACAGACTGCCTAGGAGAGCACTGGCACAGGCTGAGTTCTCAAGAAGGTAACATGCAGCAAAGTATCCCATAGCTGTCCCCTGTGTATAACCAGTTTTATCAAGACATGGTACCAGCAATCACCCAAGGGAACTGAAGAAACAACGTCTAACCCTACTAGTGACAGGCATAACAGTATACTAACTGGTACCTAATATTTTAAGACTGTTTGATCTTTCACTGTGTAGAGAATGAAATTTGAAGCCTGTTGGAATATCAGCCAAGGTCATTAGTCTTTTTTATCTATGACTAATTAATTGTACCAGAAAAAACATCTCAGGCTATAGTAGTGGGGAAAAGCAATCTTCCTGTTTCCCAGATTCCCACTTTGGTATCCAGTTGTGAGGGTAAGCTAGCCAGAGTCATGGTGGTGATCTTCCAGAAGAAAGAGTTCTTTCTAATATTTTGGCTGTCACTGTTTGTCATTAAGTTACTGGAGCCATATATAAGGAGGAAGTCCTTACATACATTACATTCTCAAGTTAATGGTGAGTGGCCCTTTAGATGTAATACAAACTTTTTCCATTAAAAAAAATTTATGACTTGAGTATTTGTTATGGGAAGAGGACTTAACAAAAAGCAGAATTTAAATGTTATTCATGCTTTTTTAAAATTGCTTCAAATCCTTCAATAAGATTCTGAAAAGTTGTCCGACTGGATGGTTGGAATTCCCAGCATTTTCTCATAAGCTGATAAACCTGTAAAAAAAAGGGGGGGGGGAACCAATAAAATGTTAGATTTGGAGGCTTTAAAAAATAACACATAAGCAGTAAAATTTTAGTAATGATAATTGATCTTGATAACTAAGGCTAGAAAACAAAACTTTGAATAATTTGTGCAGAAGATGAGCGACAGTTGTGGTGCATGAGTAATGCTTTAACATTGAGAAGCTCTTTAATAACCTTCAATAGGAGAGATGTCTTGCTCCTACATCCACCCTAGTTAGCACATCTTTAAAACTCAATTTAGAGCATGGAAACTGAACATTATGCCAGTCAGGGGCCAGAAAAATACATGTATTTGTCACAAATATGCTATCCCCAAATTCTTTCCTTTAGAGGTGGGCAGTGAAGAGCACTGAGGGGAGTCTGCTGCTTGGAATGCTTGCTTTGAATGTAACTGGTCCCTGTCACTTGCCCCAAGGTAAGATTTCTCACATATCCTGAAATTCAGCTTCAGAAAACAGTCTTCGTGGACTTTCTAATGCATTGTCCTGCTACCCCTGCTGCAGTGACAGACTGTGAAAACACCGAAAGCTGAATGACCGCTGCGGAGCAGCCATCACCTACCTGATCAGGACAGCTGGGTGGGCATGGCAAACGCTTTCCTTCCTTCAGCGTGTTCACAAGCCTTGTCACTGTCATTTGGCCGTGAGTTGGGCCTATCATTTTCAGGAACAACTGTGTAAAAGCAAACAAAATATTTCATGTTGTAGAAGTGTTTATATAAAACCAAATTTATAAGGGTGAAATGTCTAGAGTTAACCTGAAAGAAATAAAAAGACTTTTTTCCCGCATCAGTACTAAAAAATGAAACCCCACAGTGATTGGTGGAATTCCCAATCATGCACTCCTTCCACTTGTCAGAGGGCCTTTTCCAGTGAAAATGATCTCATTTTGGAATCGGCAAGGCACACAAAAGAACCTACCGAATGCCACCAGATTTAATCCACTCCCTTGAAACTTCACTTGTTTCTTTCTGTAGGTAAGAGCCTATGGACAGGACTTGAGAGACCCACAGATAGTTGTCAGGTAATCAAGTTAAATGTAAAAATGGTGTTTTACCCTTCTGCTTAATACACTGATTGGATCTCATGTAAAAACAAAACCTGGGGGACACTGTTGCGTGCACCATGTTTAGCTGTCACCTGCAATGCTGGCATCCCGTGAGGATGCCATTTGAGACCCAGCTGGTGGCTTTGGCCTGTCCTAGCTCTCGCCAGTGGGGCCATTCTGCGTGTGAATCAACACACGGAAGTGCAAGTGCTCTCCATACTCCATAATTTTGGCTTCAGTACATGAAAAATACACATGTAACTGGGTATCGGATTCAAATGGAGAGACAAGACTTACGGCCATGGGACTGTATTCTGAATCACAGTAGGTAAGCAGCTCATGCAGAGTCACTCCAAATGACCAGACATCAGAGGCAATATAGAATTTACATTGAATTAAACATTCCGGCGCATACCTGAAAGAAAGCCAAACATGCAGCCTCACTTCAGGGAAGACGTTCCAACAGACATAACGGTGCCTCAAGACAAATGTGCTCGTGTTTCCCTGAGCACATGCACGTGAGGGAGGGGGAAGGTCACTTGAGGACAAGCCTGGGGTCTGATTCCTATAGGTTCATAATGAGTTGAGTGTAAACAATTTGAGAAACATCCAGTGGCTCAAGCCAGAAATCTAGGCATTTCATTCCAGCTGTGTGAAGAATTCCTCAAAGCTACTCCAGTTCACTGTCACCTAGTCATCTAACCCTTCGACCTCTAACGCTTGCTAGGACTGCTGTTGCAGCCATATTGGACTTGCTGGCTCCAGTCTGGCACCTTGTCATTCCATGGTGGTCTCAAAAAAGAAAACAAAATCTCAAATGGTTGGCCCACCCCCTCCCGGGATGTCTCACTGGGTTCAAGCTTCACACTTGACCTTCCCTGCTCGGACCCAGCTGTTCCCTTTGGACCTCCCACTCCTTGTAAGTCCAACCCCAAGAATCCTCAAGTTTCATTTGAAGATTTGATTTCCAGAAAACCAAGTGTGAATCCTGTGCTTACTGATCATGAAGCTGCCTGCCTCCATTCTTTATAAACTCTACCTGACTGATGACATCTCCTGCTGCTGACACAAAAGGAAGGTTTGGATACAAAGCTTTAAATGAATAAAGTCTCAGGTTCTACAGGTGGGAGAGACCTATGGCTGCCTACAGGCTGCTGATCTGGTCTACCAGGGCAGAGTGGAAACCAGCAAACCCCTGGGTAGCAGGTGGCCTTCTAAACTAGATCAGGTGTTGCTGGGCTAGTTCCAGAATTTTCTTGACAGTTTAACATCCACTGGTCATCCCCTGCCACCTCAGCCTACCTGCCTTCCAGACCAGTTTCTGCATGAATGTGTCTGAGAAGGAACCCAGTGCACACCTGCACCCAGGTGCTAGAACTGAACCGTGTCAGGTGAATGTCCTGTCACAGCAAGGTGACATGCCGAGCTGCGGTGGGATTTCTCCCATTCCTCAAAAGACGGTGAGATTTGTGTAGGCTGTTTCCAGGGAACAGCCTGAAAGCAGTTTCTGAAAAGCAAGTGTCAGTTCCAAATGTTCTATTCCTCTCTAACCTTGACTTGGCCCAGGGAACTGAAAAACATTGAATGGCCAAGGCAGGCTGGTCAGGACAGTGCAAACAAACCCCTACACGCATGGGTGCACCCGGCTGATGGATTCCGTTACCAGAACACAGGGCTGTCCCGATCGTCCTTGACAGTGTAGTACTCCTTGTCCGTTTCGATGGCTTTCGTTAAACCAAAGTCTCCAATTTTCACTTGGTGTTCACTCTCTACGAGGACATTCCTTGCGGCTAAGTCCCTGTGGACATACTGCCGAGACCCCAGGTAGTCCATCCCCTAGGGGGAGAAGTGCAGATCAGGCATACTTCATAGTTTTCCACAGTAAGAAGCAGGCGTATCAGTTCATTCACACGTACGCTGCTGGTTTGTCTACTTTATGCAATAGTCCAAACTGATTTAAAAAACAGGAAAACACAGAACAAATCCATTCGCTTTCTCAGTAGAGACTTAATTTCTCATCTGCATGATGCGGACAAGGCGGAGGAAGTATAATCACCCCAGCCCCACCTGCAGACCAGCCGCCCAGAGCAAGGTGGTTTTTTTGGTAAATGTGGCTTTTTTTTTCCCCTTACCTTACAAATCTGCACAGCATATTTTAGCTGTTGTTTGAGATTAATTTTGTTCTTATTCTTTGGAAGATACTCCTTAAGGCTTCCCGAGGGCAAAAATTCCATGATGAGCTTAATACCGTTTCCTCCTGTGGAGAAACAGCATGAGCACAGAAGTCATGTGTCGGGGCCGGTCGCCAGAACTGGGACAGACCCAGCTGCCCCACTGTCCCAGGCGCTGCCTGATGCAATGGGACAGGAACACTCGGCCCCTACTGAGTCAGCACTCGTGGAGAGACCTGTCAGGAACTGATGGAAAGCGTGAGGCACGTGAGGATGCCGGGAAGTGGTGGCAAGCTGGAGCCACAGCCATAGTGGATAAGCCACGGATAAAGCTGCTCCGGTCCCATGTGGGTAGGGCCTGCTTTGCACTGCAGCTCCCTGCTAATGCGTACCGTGGGAGGCAGGCCCGATACGCACCTGCTGTTACAGGCACTTGGGGAGTGAGGCAGCAAATAAGGTCTGCCTCACAAAGTAAAAATTAGTATCTCACTGCTAATCTTAAAAGGCCCATATGTGAAAGGTGCTGGCTTACAAATAAGATGCAGGTAGATGCTAGCAAATCTCACCTGCCAGTGTGATTTCAGCTTCTATAAAGTGAAATGCCCTGGCTAGTATGGACCAGAAGAGCACAGGGGGTGGCAGTGGGTGTTGGGTTCCCAGGGCCAAAGTGTGGCCCTCGGGATGGGGGAAGCCCAGCCTCAGTCTGACTGTATGACCAACCCGGAGTGGAGAGGCCTGAGCCGCGCGGGGTGCTGCAGAGGGCAGGGCAGTTTCCTGCGAGTGCCAACAGTCCAGAGCTGCCAGCAGCGAGTGTGTTGAGGCTGCTGGCTGCTGCTCTAGCTGGCTCGGGCGACCCCGGTCACCTGGCAGCCCGACGTACCGTCCTCAGTGCAGATGCCTTTGTACTTCACGATGTTCTCATGGTAGAGGTTCCTCAGGATTTCTATTTCCTTCTTCAGGTCAGCTATGTGGTTACCGCCGCTCTCGGGCTTCAGGGACTTGACTGCCACCTGCTCCCCAGTGTTGTCCCCCTCGGGGTCATACCTGCACAGCTCCACCTTTCCAAAGTGGCCCTGGAGGGACACAAGTGCTATTGTGAAAGAAGCCACTCCCACCCCAGCCAAACCCAGAAGAGAAGTGTTGATCCTCATGGTTGTTCCCCTGCTGGGGTGCATGGCACCCCACATCCCCCTCTGCTGAGCTAATGCCAGGAAAGTGGCAGGTGACGAATGACACAGCACATGTCCCAGATCCCACAAACACCCACACACAAGAAAACCAAGGCCCCTCCTGAACCGAGCCCCAGCCCTGAGCCGCAGGACAGAGTGCGTGCTGCAGGAGGTGCGCTCGGGTCCCAGCCAAGCCAGGAGGGGTGAAGAGGGAGCTGCTGACTGCACAGCTGGTGCTGCAGGTGCCTGACGGCCACGGACTTGCCACAGGGAGTGCAAGTAAAGACCAGAGTCCAGGAGCTTCCCCAACACAGCAATGGGACCCTGCCCGCCCACGAAAACCTGAACCAGGGTAGGGCGTGAGACTGGCCATGGCCCTGTAGGCAGCCTCACAGGATGCTGAGGCCCAGTGAGTCCACATCTCCCTCTTTATCTCCGTCGGGCACATTCTGTGGGGACACACCAGGGGCAGGTGGAGACCCGCACTGCAGACCAGCATGGATGGCACCAGACACACACTGGCCTGGATGTCCAGAGGGGCCCATGGCGGTGAGCAGGGCACCCCAGCTGGAGCACTCACCTCACCCAAATCCCGGATCCTCTTGAGGAAACGTTTTTCAAAATGCGTGGGGTCTACCTCGGTGGCTGGCTTCCTTTCCGAGACAATGTCTGGATCTGAGAGAGGAGAAGACAAGCGAATGCACACCCAGTGTGGCGGCGGAGGCTCCCCCGGCACCGCCTGCAGCCCCTGGCTTACTCTGCTCTTCTAGTTTGTTGATGTCTCTCATGATGGCACGGAAGAAGGGTCTCTGGTTGGGGTCATAGTTCATGCAGCGTGTCATGAGGTCGGCCAGCTCCTTGCAGGATGGCGTCACCGGCCGGCAGCGGCTCTCGTAGAATCTCTCTTTCTGGAAGGGGAGGGAGGTGTGTGAGTGAGCGAGGGCGGAGCAGTTGTGGAGCTCTCAGCCACCAACTCATCCCAGCCCTGAAAAGCTGCACCCTAGTAGTCAGGTGACTTTCCGGGAGTAGTCTAGCAACACACAACGATTTTCAGATTCTCCTAAACTTTTGACTCACTGATTCCAACTATCAATCGACCCAAGATAAATGCGACACTAACAAGGCTGATACACACAGCTGGGCCAGTGCTAACACACACCTGCAAATACTGCAGCCCCAACTGGCCCCTCTAAAATCACTTACATAACTTAGAAGGGAACAAAATCACTACTTATGCCAAATCTGTAAATGAAGACTTACATGAGTATATTTCATAAAGTTCACAAAATGTAATTAGAAGATAAATTCTAGTGAAAGTCTTTTTTTTTTGAGATTCAGAAACCTGACAAAAGACAAGTCAGGGAAAAACTATGCATGGAGGTTAAACTTTTTTTTTGCACCACGACAAACTTCCCCTTACTTTCCCTTTTTCCTTGTATAACTCCATCTGCTATGGTTCTAATTTTGTCCAAAAAAGATATATGCAAGTAGCCTTTAGGACAGCTCGTCCAGTCCCAACAGCATCTGGGAACATGGATGACTTTTTCAAATCATTTGGTGTAGTCTCCAAATTTCCTCCAAGTGCTTATTGCTTTAAAGTCTCAGTCAGCAAACACCTGCTGCACTTGGCCTCCAAGCAAGGCAGTCCCTGAGCTCGCTGCACCCCTGGAGCCGGGCTGCAGGCCTGGAGCTGCGAAGCCGAGGCCTTCCCTGACCTCTGCGAGCCAGCGGCTGCTTTTTGGGAGCCAGGAACCCAGCGCTCAGCAAGGGCTGACCGACAGAGTGCTCGCACTTACGTTTTTCCAAGGAAGTTAAAAATAAATGCCATTTTCCAAAAGGCCAGGCGGAAAACTCCAAAAAGCACATTCTGGAGTCTGATGGCCTCTCGGGGGGAGGGGGGGGGTCTAGGCTCAGAGCCTCTGTCCTCAAGTCTGCACTGGCTTCCTCTGGCTGCCAGGTGGCCTGCACCTGCACGCCTCTCCTCTGCTCCCAGTGCCCAAGCGCTGATTCCTCCTGCTGCCTGCCAAGCCTGGCCATCTGCCCCAATGCCCACCTCCAACACCGGCTTCCCTGGCTCTCAGCCAGCCCTCCACCAACCCCGTCCTGAGGCAGAGACCGCACAGCCTGAACGCACAGCCCTTCCCAGGGGCCTGCGGTGGCCTACTCCACCTCACCGCCATCTCTCCCCAGCTCACTGTGGTCATGGTGTCACCTTTCACCCGGACAGGGATCAGTGTGAACGCAATGCATGCCCCAAGCCTGAGGTCAGAGTTCTCACACTGTTATTTTTACTATATATACATATATATTTTTCTTTGAGAAGATTTATTTACTTAGTTATTTGAGAGGTAGAGTTAGAAAGAGGGGGGTGGGGAGAGAAAGATACCTTCCATCTAATGAGTCTTTCCCTATAATGGCTGCAATGGCCAGGGGTAGGCCAGACAAAAGCCAGGAGCCTCATCTGGGTCTCCCACATGGTAGCAGGTGCTCAAGCAGTGTGCCACCTTCTGCTTTGCCAGGCCCATTAGCAGGGAACTGGATGTGAAATAGAATAGCTGGAACTCAAACCGGTACCCATATATGAGGCCAGCACTGCAGGTGGCAGCCTGTACCATAATGCCAGCCCTGAGTTTTACTGCTTTTGTCACCACTCTCAGAAGTCAATCTGTGAGAGGTTCAGGTTTCACCAGGTGACAGCGGGGGGCTGGCTGACCCCAGTCAACAACCTTATCAAGTAGTTTATCTCATTTCACAGATGATAAAATTGAGGCTCAGGGGAGTGACATCTTCAAGGTCACAGGGCCAGCCACCTGTGAGGAAGATCCCACCTCACTGCCCTCTCGTCACCCCTGACTGAGGGCTGGGGCACAGGGGACCCGAGGCCACCTGAAGCCTGGGGAGGCAGCTCACCTCGATCAGCGTCTTGTCTTTGAGGGGGATTTCGCCGTTGTAGCAGATCTCCCAGAGCGTGGTTCCGAAGCTCCACTTGTCGGCGGCCACACTCAGGTTCTTGGAGTCTTCCACACACTCGGGAGCAATCCACGGGATCCGCTCTATGCATTCTGGAAAAAGACGGCAGATGCTCTCAGAGCAGTTTCCAGGCCACCAAGTGGCGGGGGCAGGGGATGGCACAGGGCAAGGATGCCACACCTTGTCTGGACAGCACAGTGATGGGGATGCCAGGGTCGCTGAGCTTGATGAACGGGCCGCACTCGCTGTCGATGCCTTCGCGTGCCAGGAGGAGGTTCTTGGTACACACATTCCCATGGACCAGGTCCTTGTCCTCCTGCAGAATTCCAGGGACCAGTTCAGAGTTGCCCGCAGGCGTGCCCATGTCTCCTCCACACCCTGCCTTCCATCCTGGTCCTCAGAGCATCCATCTGCACTGGTACCCATAACCAGGCTCAGCAGCCCAGCCTCCCAAGCAAGGGTCTATGTGACTGTGGCATGGCACCCCATCACAAGGAAATGACCAGCAGTGGCACAGACCTCTAAGGGGTTCTGTGACAACAAAGAGACTAGAATCTGCAGCACCTGGACCAGGGGGCCACAGGCAGCACTCACAAGAGGCCAGTGGCTCTGGATGCTGGCAGCTGTGCTCACTCCCTCACCCAGGACTGTACTACACAGTGCATGCTGTCCGCGGGGACAGCTTCCCCCGGGGAGCACCCATTGCTGAGTCCCCAGTGACCCCTTTCCATGTTCTGCCACCGAGCCCTGGGTCCCACTGCAAAGGCCAGTCCCTCCCGGGTGTCACCCCTATGAGAATATTGTGGGCTCAGGTGGGGCCCGCCCCAGACATCACAACATCTTACCAAGTAACTCAAGGCGCTGGCCAACTGTTTGGCGACTTTGAACTTCCAAGGTGTGGTGAGGGCGTCGCTTTTGCGATGCATGAAGAGATCCAGAGGCCCTCCCTCCACAAACTCTTCCACCATGATATCTACAGGCATAAACATACCAGTTTCTGGAACCTTCTGTCCGGGACAGTCCTGTGCCTTATCCTCTCAAAAGCGTACACTCTGAGAGAGCCCTCAGCCTACAGGATCACAGAGACCCCAGCAGGTGCACATGGCAGGGTACTTAGGAGTCATCCAAGCTGGGCTCCAGGTCCACACGCTTCTGCTGTTAACCTGGGAGACTGAGCAAGTACCAACTTCTTGGGAGGCCTTGTCCCCACTTCTGCATCCAAGAAGGAAGCTGCTCCCAGGTGCCTAGGGTTTCTGGGGAGGGCTACGGGGCGCAAGGCAGGGAGAGGCTGACAGAAGCAGCAGACGTAGTGGACCGGCCTGAGCAGGCCTCTGCCTGACCCAACTGTCACGCTGCAGTGCAGGGATGGCCACTGCTATGCCATGGCCTACACGAGACAAGTGCCGGGTCACACAGGGAAAAAACCAGAGCAAAACCAAAAATTCCCTCTTCAGGTTTACACGCTGGGGACTCAGAGGCTGAGGGCATGAGCAAAAGCCTCAGCCTGCTGGCCAACAGCAAGAACTGGGCTTGCAGACAACAGGTAGGCCAGTCCCCCAGCAGCCAGTGCCTCGCCATTCCACACCCCTACTCCCTGCGTCCTGCCCAGTGTGCCTCCCCCTCGGACGCCCAGCCCGTCACCTTGCCTTACCCACCTCTGACTTGTGAGTCTAACATGGGGGTAGGGGACAATTTGGCCAGAAGGAAGCATGGAAACAGGGCAAATGAATGAATTTCCATCAGTCTCCACGGGTTAAGCTGTCCACCTGCTCAGCATTAAATGTCCTCTAGCACAGGAGGCAAGGCTGGAGGCCTGGGCAATGGACAGGTGACTCCACAGCACCAGGGCTGCCCAGCCAGGACCCCCTCTTCCATGGGCCCTACTTACTCTCCAGGTCACGGACACAGACGCCGTAGAGGTACACAATGTGCTTGTGGGAGACCTGTCTCATCATGCTGGCCGCCTCAAAGAAGGCCTGTGGGAGAAGGCGACAAAGAGGTGTCGGTGTCACGGGTCACCCTTGCTGCTGCAGACGCAGATCCCAGGCAGTCACTACTGTCACTGCCGAGCATGGCCATGGCCACCGGAACCAACTGGCCGCAGACCTCCCACTGTGCACGTGTGCCTGCCTCGCCCCACTCCACCTTGAACTTGGGGACCTCATGACACTCAGCCTCTGCCCCAGGCTGTCTCACTTCCTAGGAAGCAGGGTGGGGTGGGTGTGGGGGTGCTCCTAAGTCAGACACACCCCAGGGTCTCCCTTTTCCAGACTGTGCAGTGAGAGCCCCAGATGCCATTAGGAACTCCAAGGCCACTTAGCTGCAGTCCCCAGGTGCTGCCACATCAGCTCTGGGTAGGCATGAGACGAGGAGGTGACCGGGTAGCTACGTGAGGGTGTGGGCAGGTGCAAGCGGCTGCTTGGGCCTTCCTCCCTCCCTCCCTCCCTGTGCTGCGCACGTTTGCAGGGAGCAGGGTAGGCTGCAGACGGCATCTGAAGAACGGAAGCTCTGCTCAAGGCCAGCGTGAAAGCCAGCAGCCGAGTGGTGGGCAGGGTTGCTCCCTACCCATCATGCCCTGCAGGCTCCAGAAACAGGGAACAGAGCAGGGCAGGAGAGGGCTGCGATGTGAGGAAGACACTTGCCAGAGAAATGTCCCTGTGGCTGGAGTCCAAGACTTTGAGGATCACTTTGATTCTCTTCTCTTCAGAAGTGCCTTCGTCCTCCTTGTGGTCTACCAGGGTGCCCGCGTAGATGTGGGTTCTGGTGCCTCTGCCCAGGTGATCGCCCTGAGGGGACAAGCAGAGGTCAGGCGGCCAGGCTGGGGAAGGCAAACTTATTTCCAGGGCGGGGCAGAGGCTAGAGCCGCAGTGGCTCCCCGTGCCTGGGTCTTGCCTCCACGAGACACAGTCCACATGCCCCTGGGCAGCATCTCTCCTCCTACCACCAGCAGCAGCCTGTGGCTGACAATCTCCACTTGACCCAAACCTACTGACGGTGCCCGTCAACTGCCAACCACGTGGCCCATGCCAGGCTGCTCCAGTTTCCTAGACAGGCAGCGTGGGGCTGTGCTACTGCTTGCTAGCCTCTGACTGCGGAGACATTCCTGGACCATGCCCGTCTCTGCCCACTTTCTGCAAGCACGCCGATGACTGTTCACCTCCTGGCGCTGCTGTGAAATGCACCTGAGGACTCGGCAGAAAGGCTCCTGGTCCAAAAACGGGCACTGGGGGTGGGCAGCGGCTCATTAGCTGTTCCTTGGGACTGCCCAGTTCTCATCTGTGTGAGCCTTGGCAGCGCGTTCCCCAGGGATCCTCAGAGGAGGGGCGCAGCTATAGGCAGCAGCAGGGAGCCCCACGTTGCCTCCCTTGCGGAGAGGCAGGAGGGCTGGGAGGGATCCGTGTGCGGAGCCTCCGTACAGAACCACTGTCTCCTTAACAATCCCAACTTACCAAGTCCCTCATTTACAACTAAAAATGTGACTCAGGAAACTTGGGCACCGTCAAGCTGCTGATAGTGGCCCCGCACAACTCAACAGTTCATAAACTCCAGGTTGACTCTTCTACCTCAGGGTCCTGCTTTAAACACACCTCCTGGAGGGACTGACATCCAGGACATCAGCTGTCTCCACAGGAACACACACACCCAGAGTCTTTAACCAGGTGTAGTAATTTGCACAAATTCCCATTTGTCATCGGTCAGGCACACTGGCTATCCACTACCCTGTCTGCTGGCCAAATTCTGGAATTACTCATGGAAGCTGCAGCCACCATGAGGCAAGGCTTTGTGGTGTGGGAAGTGGTACAATTGCCAGGACACCCCAAACAAGCCACATGCTCTCAGAATCATTAGGCTTGCCCTAAAGGCCATCCAGCTTACAGCTCCAAACTGGTGGGCTTCCACAGCAGCTCTCAAAGCCCCCTGTACTTCCTACATGTCCATTCCTGTCTCCTGCAGTGCCAGTCCCTTAGTCTGTGCCCTGAGCTGGGATCTGATGCCAGCTCCTGCATGGTACCATTTCGTCCTCTTAGGACAGGGACAAAGGACTGGCTGGGATGTGCCCACACATCGCTGTACTTTGTCACTTTGGGTCATGTCTCCTGATGACACAGCTGCGGCCTGAGGCTAGTCCAGTCTGCTCCCGCACTAGGCGATGGGCCTGTCATGGCAGCAGCGGCCTCTACTATGTGCAGGCACTCATCTCTCCAGCTGGACTGGGAACAGAAGGCTGGGAGGATGGCGAGGGTGTGCGTGTTCAGACTCCAGTAGCGAAAGGAGGTGGCCTCATGTCTAGGGTCGAATTCCAGACAGCCCTGGAATAAAGGCTGTCAAGCTGCAGCTCTGGTTTTTGTCTTTATTCCCAGGACATGTAGTTCCGAAACTGCTAAAGTGACAGGCAAAACTAAAGGCATGCTGCAGAGAGGAAAGGTAGAAGAAGCGAGATGGTGGTAGTCATGGGCCTCCATTCTCTGAAAACTGCTCTATTGTTTCAGGGATCTAGGTAAACTAACATACCAACCCCATGCCTGCCCTCACCCAGGCCCTGCCACAGGAGGGAGTCCATGATTCACTCAGCCCTCCAAAATTCTGGCCCGGGCCCCCATCGCACTCAAAGTCCTTCTTCCCTGGGCTGCAGACTGCTATCTCTTTTGATGCCTTCATCGCCACATGTGGTTCTGCCTAGAGGCCTACGGACAGGTGCAGAAAACAAAGTGGGACTGATCTGCCCTGGGCCTCACATACCTTGCCCAGGGCCAAGGGCAGCCATGAAAGAAACAGTGGGTCCACCTGAGGCTGCCAATCCTGGGCAGCAGGTCACCAAAGGCTGGGACCAGTCTGAGCACTTGGGAGGAATTCAGTTCTCAAAGGAGCTCTCCAGGTTCAAGTTCTACACGTCCTCCTGCGCTGTCAGTGCTCCCCTGGCTGCCCTGTCAGTGCTCCCTCACAAGTGCTCCTCAGTCCTCATGAACACGCCTTCTCCAGTGGAAAAGCCTCCGGAGGAACGTCTGTGTCTAGCTGGGCCACAGGCAGGGGCTGAGCTGCCTTCCTGTGTACCTCTCTTTGGTCTTCTTCTACCAGGATGTCCCCAAACCCAGGCCTTATTCCCCCACACGCCGCAGACTGCTTGCCTGTGGAACATTAGGCCCCATGCTGGACCCAAGACCCACAGCCATGACTTACCTGCACGATATCTTTCTTGAGGATCCGGTAAAAGCTCAGCTGGCTCATGGAGTAGACAGGCTGCCACTCTTGGGCTTTCTTAGTAGCCACCAGCAGATTGGAGATCTCTGTGGAAGAGATCAAAAGTCAGAGCAGAGAGAAGGTTCGAGATGTCAGCCAGCCTGCATTTGAGCAGTATGGGACTCGCTGCTCACCCATGCATGCGTTTGTCAGTTCAGACACCTGACACATGGCTGACCAAGGAATCCCCCATCCGGAGACATCTATGATGCACTGAGATACTCTAAAAGGATGAGCACACGGTGCTCCCAGGGAACTCTGTCCTGGCAAGGGGCTGGGGAAGTCTCCCTAAGGAAATGTAATGGTTAAATCTAAGAAGGAAAACACCGAGGAGCCAGGGCCTGTGGCTAGCCTATTTCTCAGCATGCAGCAGGCCCGTGGTAAGGGCATGTTAAATACACAGGAGCTGAAGCTGAGTGCTGAGGAGCAAGGATGCCTGCGCCTTCAGCTGATGGGAACATTGGGAGCAGGATGACAAACATGAGATTTGGGCAAAGACAGCAGGAAGGGCAATCTAGAAAGCAGGTGCATAAGCCCATGAATGCCTGATATTAAGATGCACTCTGAGCCCTCCATTTCTGTGGGCCATGAGTGGCCACCAGGGCTGTGTAGGGGTGGGCTCTGAGTGGCCAGCTGGGCCATGAGTAGCCAACTGCCGTGTCCTGCAGACTCAATAGCCAATCCAGCCTACTACAAAATCTTTGCACCACCTGGGAAGTAGTACGCCACCGAAATCACCTTATTCTTATTTCCACACAGAGTCCTGGAAAGCCCTGGTTATGTCAGTGAAATTCTGAACTGCAAGAAGCTATTAAGTTCAGGGGGGAAAGGAAGTTATTCAAGTCCTTGGATTGGATAATTCTTGAATTCTAATAAAAACAGGTTACCAAAAGAAGACTTGGGTGAGTCAGCAGGCACCATCTGTGGAGGTGATCCACATGGGTCACTAGGAGGTGACAGTCACTGAAGACCAGGTCTCCACATGCACCCAGGGAACTGCATGGGGCCTCACTGCCCCTTTCAGTTCACATTTTCTGGGACCAGCGTTGTAGCCCAGTGGGTGGAAACATTGTCTGGGATGCCAACATCACCTAACAGCACTGGTTCAGATTTCGACTGCTCCACTTCTAATCCAATTCCTTGCTGATGTGCCTGGGAAAGCAGCAGCAGATGACCCAAGTACTTTGGTCCCTGTCACCCATGTTCTACTTGCAGGTTTTTGGCTTCAGAGTGGTCCAGCCCTGACCATTAAGGCAATCTGGGATGGAAGATTTTGCTCTCGCTCTAATTCTGCCTTTCAAATAAGTAAATCCTTACACAGGGCAGGTTCGCATTTTCTCAGTGCTAGTCCCTGCCCTGAGAGCTCTACACGCATGCACTCCTTGGTCCTCACACCTATGCCAACAGCTACACAGCATTCTCACCCTCCTTTTACAGAGCAGGAAATAGCGTGTCCAAGGTCAGCTGCTTAATAAGCCACATTTGGGGTCTTGGTGAACCCTCAGCATCCCCCAGCCCAGCTGGTCTGAGTGGGAGAAGCAGACCCGAGGGTCAGAGGCTGGGCTCAGAGCAGGCTCCCCTGTTACCACACTGCAGGCACCACACTTCCACACTGCTTTCGTGACTCTCCTGGGGCTCCTTGGGTAAACAGATTCCTAGAAGAACTCTGGGAAGCCTAGAGGGAGCAAGGGCTTCCATGAGGGCCACCTGACAGGTGGCCACAGCAAATGCTTCCACTGGCAGTAGAGTCATTAAGGAAATGAAACAGGAGGGGGAAGGACTATGTTTGGGCCAATTATCTGCTTGGTGCTTCGGGGAACATGGCACTGGGGCCAACGGAGTGGGAGGGGAAGCCATTGAACCCCTTCCGGTTTGTTTTCTCAGTACAATAAATGGGGGACATAATTGTGCCCTCGCCAAGTCACCTGTGCGACAGATAAGACAATGCACCTCATAGGTAGCTACTGTTGTCGTGAGCAGCCATTATCCTGTGGTACCACCAAGTCCCTGTGGTCTCAGCCAAAGGTATAGAACGCAGGCATGAGGCTGACTATGCAGACACGGCAGGGCCATTGTGACGGGCCAGTGGGCTGACTGGACCTTCCTGTGCTCTTCGGCCTGGTCATCCAGGTGAGGGATGACCTGGGGTGACCACACTCGTGCTGAGTGGCTTCTGTTGTGGCACCTGCTTCTTACTCTGTGATGAGTTTCTTGGTTGCATCTTCCAGCAAGAGGAGGCTGTCTGCCTGCTGGAACCCTGTGGCTGGGAGGAGCCCCAACAACAGGGCAGGACCTGGGTTGGTGATTTTGCTGCTTCTCTAGTTTGCAGGTGCCAGGAGCAGAGCAGGCTGGCCGTACTCTGACTCTGCCTGCCATGAGGCCCTCCTGTATAACAGTGTTGGGAGGCCTGAGAAGGGCAGGGAAGTGAGGAATCAACTAACTTACAGTCATACAGTGCAAGTTCAAATCCCTACGTGAGCATAATAACACATGAACGCCCAGAAGCAGGGCCTGGCAGACTGCGTGCTGTTCACACGGCAGTGGCTGACGTCATCACTGCTCCTGTAACTGCTGCTGATGCCACCAGCAAGACGGCCTCCGGCACACGGACCTCACCGAGTCGTGACTGCCTCACAATTGCTACCTACAGCTGCTGCATGGGTGGCAGAAACGCCTGGGAAGTGCCTGGGCCTCTGCAGGGGTGGCCGCTGTGATGGTCACTGGGCCTCTGCAGGGGTGGCCGCTGCGATGCTCACTGGGCCTCTGCAGGGGTGGCAGCTGCGATGCTCACTGGACAGAGAGCGCTGGCTGCCAACTCGGGGCTGGGGTTCCCACTGGGCAAGGCAGCAGTAAGGCCAAAGCTGTCTTACAAGCGCACAAGCAGGTGGGAAAGGCAGACGCCAGATATACTCAGGGACGAGTTTAGAAGCCATGAGAAGGGATCAATTCCATCCCCTTGCTTTTCCTGCCACAGCTCCTGGTTCTCAGATCTGGGCTAGCAAGAGAATTACCTGGGGCACAGACCTTGCCCCGCTAAAACCCTGCAAAGGAGCCACCTAGCAATATCTAACATCCTCCAACTACCGTCCCCTACCTCGTTCCCCACTCCCACCTGAGACCACTGACCCCCAGGAAGTATCCACTGCTCTGGAGAGCTGGAAGGAGAGAACGTGACGGAAAGCAGGCCTCGGCCAAGCGGCAGTGGATGTTTCACCTCTGTGAATATCTTTGAGCACAGAAACAAAGACTGCAGTTCTTCTCCAAGGCTGGCAGGAAACTCTATCTGATCAAGTTCCTTCTCTTGCACCAAGATCAGTGCTGGGTCGCTTGCAGAGAGACCTAAGCATGAGTTACCCCGCAGGGACCCAGGCCTCCCCTGTCCTCACACAGCTGGCCTGCCAGCCTGCTGATACAACTGCTAGCTGAGTCACAGGGCTTGGAAGGCTCCATGGAGGAGGCAGAACCGGAGCAGAGGTAGACAGTGAGCTAGAGGTTGCCAGGCAGCTAAGAGCCAAGGCAAACGTGTCAGAGACAGAGGCCCCACAGAGCATCTGCCCATACCAGGGTCTCAGGAACAATGGAGCTGCCTCTTCCAGAGGCCCAACACCCAGGGTGGCAGAGGAGAGGCTGGGCCTGGAGTGGGATTTTGGAGGCCAGTGTGTTTGGTCAGGGGAAGCATCAAGCAGCACATGGAATCCAGCTGCTCTTTCCGTATGCCTCGTGCAGTGTCCGTTGACTTTGCTGGGAAACGCCTTTGGTTAACTGGCCACGTTTTGCTCACTGTTCAGTAAGATGTGCCTTCTTCATGCAGCCCTCCATGACCTTGGCTCATGATCGTGGCCATCCCTTTCTGACTGATCGCAGGGTATACTGATGTGCTGGTTTAAGTGCTCATCAGTAACACTTTAGTATCAGGAGTGGAAAACCTTCAAGAGGCAGGTGTGGGTCTCGGGCATCTTTGATTGTCCACACGTGGACAAAGTTCTAGGCCCATGAACATGAGCCAGGGGAGCTGTCACGGCACTCTGCCTTAAAGAGGTGAAGAGCAAATCTCGGGGTGCTACTCCGGATAGTGAGATGCTGAAAAACAGGTCTCTTCTACGAAAAATGCTGACACTCAAGGGATGGGATTTGACTTGGGGGATCGAATCCTAACCAAAGTCCCTGAACAACACTTGTAACTTGTGGGCAGAGATGACGTTCAGTAATGCAACCCGCATCCTACAGTCATTGTGGGCCTTGCAGCATCACTGCGGGGCCACTGTCTCACTCAGGCACTGGATACGCACCTCGGGGTTTGGGCTGGCAGCAGCGTTTCAGCACGAAACTGATGTTGTCTGTGCGCAGGATCTGCCTCTTGAGGTGGCTCATGAGTTCTCCCAGGCTGGGGAAGCTGCGGTCCGAGCCGTGCAGGCTGTAGCAACCTTTTTGCACCTCGATCTGAAAGTTCTTGAACTGCCTTTGGCCACCTGTCAGCTGCCATTCAGGAAGGAAAGTGATCAGACATGACTTGGGTTAAAACAAAGTCAGGCCAAAGGAATGAGCTGACGTTAGGAGAGAATGGGGTGCCACTGCATTGCCCTGTACATCTGAGTCTCTGTAAATCTGAAATCCATCACAAACACTTTATTGTCTATAAATAATCCAACCAACAAACCAATCAATAATCTAGAAGGATTCCAGGAGAAGACAGGGAGGAGAGCTATTTCTGCAGAAGTGTCTCCTGGCTTTTGATCTGCAAGACAAAATGAAGTTCATGGAAATACCAAGCTCCTCAGGCTGCTGCCACAGCTATCCAACGTGGTACACTCTCACACACTCAGCTACTGTTACAAATGAAATGATAACTATCGCCCAGGAATTCCCTCCGACTGAGCCTCTCCGGATTCTGTGGCTGCATGGAGAGACAAGACACACACGGGAGTTGCCCTATGGCTGCCAGTCCAGCCACAGGCTCCAGAGAGCACATGAAGTGTAAGCTGTTCTCCTTCACAAGCTCTTTTTGTACAAAGGAGACCATTTTAGTGGTTAATACTGAGGGCCAGGAGGACCTACTTATAGGGTAAACTAGGACACGATCAACAGGTGAAATCCCCAGGGCTCAGTACCAGGAGGTAAAAAGGTACTTATCTCATGGCCACTGCCAGGCTTAAGCAGGAACACGCAGCACGCACCTAGCATGGTGCCCGGTCTGAGTTAATAGGTGGGGAAGTAACCCTGTCTCTGACCACTGTCTTGCCCAGGTAAGAGAGCATTCTTGGTTCAGCCTGGGTCAGTTCCCCCTGGGAAGGCCAGGCTGGCTCTTGCACTCACCCATCTTAATCTCCTCCATTATAGGCTTCTGTGAGGCCAGCGGGCTCACTGGGTCCTGAGCCACAGAACCCCTCTCAGTCCTGGACTTCCCCCTAGGACCCCGGGCAGCAGAAGGCTCCTTCGCCATTTGCTCTCCCTGCCTTCTTACAGGGTGCAGTCCCCAGGGACTGACTCTTCTCCCTGCATGCTCCTTCCTGCATCTCAGGTCTCCAGTCTGTTAAGGTGTTGACTTCTATTCATGGAGGCCGTGCTCCTTTCCCAGCTCTCCTAGTTCACAATGAGCCCAACCAATCCGAGTATATTTATGTAAACTGATTGTGTAAAGCACACTGTCAGCTACATTATGTAACAAAGGCAGCTGAGGGCTGGCGAGGTGAAGCCAGCAATTCTGACTTCATCTTGGCTTACAGGGTTCCTCTCACTCCATTTTCAGTTTCCAGGACACCTGGCTCACCAACAGACTCGTCCACTCAGAGTCAAAACACTGCAGCAATTGATCTGTTAACACATCAGAAGCTGCCATCCGGGGGGGGGGTCGAGCCAGGCCACACTAATGAGGCAGGCACTGGGCACCCGTCTGTACTGGGAATGAAATGGACGAAGCTCTGGCTCCTGGGCCATCCTGGTGAAGCCTGACCTCATCATTCTAGGTGATTACACTAAACTACTAAACTCTGTAAGTGCTCGGTGGGACCTGCTTTTCTGGTCATGTGCTCTTGCCCAGAGCTGTGCTGGACCTCTGCCAGGGCCCCTCGAAAGAAGAGAGTGCAGGCGGCATGCACAGTGCGTCTGTTCAGGAGCAGCCCCTGTGGGAATGCAGATGGGCCTGGACTTCTCTGAGCAACCAGGCTTTCCTGCCGCAACTCCGCCAAGCCAGGCCCTCCTCGCAGCAACTCCCAGACTACATGTACTGGCCAACTCGCCCCCAGAAGGCTCGCCTCATGTCGGTGTCTGACTGACCTCAGACTTTTCAAAGCAGGTGACGGTCATGAGGATGTTGTCAAAGTCAGTACAGCTCCACCTCAGCACGTACATGCCCTCCTCACTGCCTTCTTGCCGCAGCTTATTGATGGCGTACTCTGTGCTAGAGGGGGAAGAGACAGTTACACACATTCTGGGCACCCGCTCCCCTGACCTGCCCACAGGCTCCTGGCCCCATCGCACCACTGCCAGACTCCCACAGTGCTCCCTGATGAGAGGTGTGAGCAGCCGTGAGAGAACGTGTCGGCAACGCACTGATCTGTTTATCCCCGAGTGTGCCACAGATGCTGTGCTCCCAAGGCTGCTGATGAGCATCTGGCAATGATAATGATGGTGGTGACCTCACTCCTTCCCACCAACCCCAGACAACTGGACCGGAGCATGAGCTGTGCAGGTGGGAACTGGGGGCTGTTTCATTGAGTGCTGTATCTTGGTAACTAGAACAAGCCCGGCTCACAGAGCTTGTCAGGCAGTACTCTAAATGAATCAATCAATAGGGATTACAAAACATTAGCATGGAAATGCCTGTCTTATACACATTTGTATCTCCAGAGCTAAGGACTGGCACATGAGGGCAGTGAACCCGGGCTAAATAACTCCATGGGGTTGCCAGTACCTATCAAGTGTTTCTTACAAAGTGTTGGGAACATGGGACCTGTCTCTGCAAAGCTCAGATCAGGCACAGACGGATACAGAAAAAGCACGAGCTGTGAGGAAGCAACACATGCCACTCTAGAACATCGCTGGCAGCGTACAGGCACCAGGGAGGGTGGGCTGCACAGGCGCTTTTCCTGGACAGAGGTGACCCTGACAGACACCTGAAGGGCACGGGGCTGTGAGGGTCCTGGAAAAAGGCCTTTATGGGGCAAGGCCCTCAAGTCTGGCCAAGTCTGGGGCCCTGGGAGAAAATGCTTTTAGGACACTCAGCCTCTTGCTCAGTAGCACCTTGTGCTCAAGATGCCACCGGCATCTGTGAGCCTCTCCAGGCCAGGACCACACCAATTCCCAAGGGTGCCGGGGTGGTGGACAGCATGTCCTGGACAAGGAAGCCAACTGAAGACCTGCTTCCCAGGATCTAGCAAGGTCTGCAAAGAAACTCAGAAGGAATACAGTTACTGGTTTCTGTGGCCTGAAGGGCAGTCATGTGCGAGAGGAAGTAAACTGAAAATCTCTTATCCAAAAAGAACTCAGGAACAAGCTGCATGTCATAGACGGGCAAATGCCAATTCCATATCAGAAAGAGGTGTGCTGCGGAGTGCAAACTATACTCCAGCAGCAGTGAGAAGGCTGGAAGAAGACATGCCGACAGGCCCCTGGGGTCCTATGGCTGTGACACGCTGGTGGTCCCCAACATTCATCTGGCCCTTAGGACAAGCTGCCTCAGGGCTTCATCCACTATACTCCCCAATGCTGAGATCTATGTCCAGCCGTCTATCTGTCCATCTTATTTTCTTTCTTCCTCTCTATTTCTTTTTTTTGTCCTTCCTACTTCTCTCCTTCCTTCCCTTTTTTAAATTTAAAGATTTATTTATTGGGGCCAGTACTATGTAGGTTAAGCCTCCACCTGCAGTGTCAGAATCCCACATGGGTTCGGGTTCGGGTTCAAGTCCTGCATGCTCAACTTTCAATCCAGGTCCCTGCTGGCATGCTGGGCAAGTAGCAGGGGATGGGTCAAGTGCTTATGTTGCAGCGCTCATGTGGGAGACCTGAAGAGGCTCCTGTCTCCTGGCTTTGGATCAGCCCAGCTCTAGCCATTACAGCCATTTGGGGAGGGAACCAGCAGATGGAAGCTCTTACTCTCCTTCTCTCTGCATATTTATAAAATGTGATAGAGAGAGGGAAATTTCCCATTTGCTGGTTCATTCCCTAAATGGCCCCAAAGCTGGAGCTGGGCCAGCCTGAAGCCAGGAGTTCTGTCCGAGTCTCTCACGTGGGTGCAGGGGACCAAGTACTTGGGTCACCTTCTACTGCTTTCCCGAACACATTAGCAGGGTGTTGAATAGAAAATGGAGCAACTGGGACTAGAACCAGTGCCATATGGGAGGCCAACGCCACAGAAGGAGGCTTAACCCACTATGCCATGGAGCCAGCCCCTGAACTGCCCACAATGTTTGCAATATCAAGGGTCAGAAGGGGTAATACCTCTTAGCCAGTTATGAAGAGGTAGGAGGGTTAAATGATGAGGAGAGTTGAGGGCCTATGTGGGAGATGAAAGTCTGGATAGTAGGTACAGAAAAGATAACACCTACTATGCACCAGGCAACACAGTCAACTGCTCCTGAAACTGGAAATGTCTGGGAGAGAGGCAGCCACACCCCCTGTCACTAATATGTGACATCTTTTTACCCTAAAGCAACTATAAAGGTTCTAGAACCAACCAGATTGGGCCGTGACAGCCATTCTGTATGTTGTGGACGATCAGTGGTGGAGCCACATCTGTACAGAGGTAATGATGGGCATCTGCCGTGAGCCGGAAATAGCCGTCCACCAGGGACACGAAGGATAAGGCCTCCTCGTGAGACGAGAGCTTCAGTTCCTGGGGAGAGATAAGAAACACCCACAGTTACATCATGTGTCCACCATGCTCAGCAGCCGAGTCTAAAAGAACACAGAGGCAGATGCACAACCCCACAAAGAAACCATTTTGTTGTTGCTAACTGTTCCCCTTGCATCTACATAGGACTTTAAAAACACTTTCACAATCATTACCTTATTTTTAAAAATTATTCATTTGAAAGGCAGTGTTATAGAGAGGAAGATACATAAAGAAAAAGATTTGCCCACCCCATAAATGGCCTTAATAGCTTGGCTGGGACATCCAGAAACCAGAAGCCTGGAATTCCGTCTGGGTTTCCCATGTGGGTGCAAAGGCTCATGTACTTGGGGGCATCCTATGCTGTTTTCCCAGGTATAATAGCATGAAGCTGGATTCAAGGTAGAGCAGCCGGGACTTGAATCCATCCATTATCTCAAAGGTACCATAGGAGCGATGGTGTTCTCTGTGTGTGACAGGACTGGAGGTTTGAGATTGGGGCAGGCATGGAGATCTATAGAGAAGTTTCCCCTGGTCAGCTCATGTCAGATGTGGTCCAGAAGGGGGAACTTCTGGATCAACCCAGGAATGATCCCAGACACAATGAGGTTGCTAGACTAACTCCAAGGGCTGCTCAGGGTGTGGAAGAAACAGAGAGCTCCTTGGAGTGGGAAGAGGTGAAAGCCAAAGCGAAGAATAAGATATTCAGGACCACACTTGGCAGAGAAGACAGGTGGGGTTTCTGGTTTTGATCCCATACCCCTGAGCAGACACTGCCCAGCTGAGAGTGCTCAAGGGGCTGTCCGACAGCATTTCCCAGTGAAGGAAGGTGTGAAGTCATGACTGAGAGCTCTAACTCAAAGATCTTTACAGATCTGAGCAAAATGACATTTGTAAATAACACTCTTTCCATAACACTGGTGGAATGAGAGGCGCATCACAGAGATGGGAAGGCCAGGACAAGCAGAGGTGAGGCAGTTCTAAGTAACCAGCCTGGGCAGGAGTGGAGGAGCCTGGTGCCAGCCATGATGCCAAGGAAGAGTACCCTGGGGCTGGGAGTAAAGGAAGCCTCTCAGGGTGCAAGTCGCGGACAGGAAGCTTCCTCTGTGTAGCCAGGCAGCCAGCGGCAGATAGCCCCCACCAGGGCTGACTCAAGCTGCTCCAGAATGACGGGCAGGGCTGGCACTGGCAACTACACAATAAACAACATCATGTAAACACGTAAGTTCTCTGAAACAGAGTTTAAAAAGGAAGGGCAGAGGAAAACGAAGTGTGGAGAGAAGCGATAAATCAAGAAATGGCTAGACTGCAGGCTAGCATTTTGCTTTCCTCAAATACTGGCAAAGAGTTGGGAAAACAGGAGAGTGAGATGGTAATGGGGCAACATCAAGCAGCAGCCAACCCACAGGGCTGCCGCCAGCGAGCCAGGGTCTACCTTTCAGTGCCTTCCCCTGCTATTTATAGGTCAAAAATGGGCAAATCCTGGCAAGTGTGACTGATTCACCTTAACAACTGTGTGACTTCGAATGACGCTTTGACCTCCTTGCACTTTGATTTCCTCCTCTGTAAAACCAGGCTACCAATACACCCAGCCACAGGGTGGTGTGAGAATTCAAAGCAGACTCCTGTAAAGAGCTTAGGGCACAGAGTGGCTTGCATGCAGGATGAGCTGGTGTTTGTAAAGAAACCTAAGTGTTCAGACTTGCCTCCAACAGCCAGGCCAGGACAGGCTCACAAACCATGCACTATGTCTGCTCCCCCTTCTCCTCCCTGCCTCTTAAAAGGGCCTGACCAATGAGGATGTGGCTGATCAGGGGCATACAAACCTCTCTCTGTCTCAGGTCCCCATGGGGTGATCATGCCTCAGAAACTAAAGCCACACAGACCAAAAGCACACAGGAGACACACAGAATTGTGCAATAACCGGACACCTTCTCACGGCATGACCCTTTGTAAATGCTACGCGTCCTGATGGGTCGCAGGTTTCCCACGTGAACAGAGTGGACAGTCCTCCCAGGCCCTCATGAACACTAAGCAGGAAAACACTAACCCAGGGCCCGCTCTCCGTAACATGCCCACATATCACATTTCACCATTTTTGTCCTGCTTTCACTCTCCCATCAGCCCACAGACACGTACCTGGACTTTCCTACTTTGCTGGCAATACTGATGTATGCTTACTTAAAACAGACAGTGGGGATTAGAAAAGGAAAACGCATTCCCATCACAAATGAATTACTGCTAAGTTTTGCTTATTTTTCTAAGAGTATGTGTATATATCTGTATACCCTCACAAAAATTTAAACAAATCCAATATCACTCTGTAGGTAAAGTTTTATATTCTGTTTTTCAATTACAAAAGCATTTTTGAGATGATTAAGATTAAGAACTGTATTTGTATACTCTACTACTCGTGAGGATTGTGATTCCTTTTTGCGTGTATGATTTGTTTTCTTACTCTCCTGTTATTGTGTATGTCGGTCACTTTCAGTGTTTTGGCACTGTGAATGTGCTTCAGTGGATTTTTTAAAATGGCATCTAATGGTTACACTTAATATTGGGGTACAGCCAGCAAACACGTACATCAAGTAACGGCCAGGCCAATGTAATGAGCATCCCCTGCTCCCGAAGGACTGATCATTTCCTTGTGCTGGGAACTGCCCAGCTTCCTCATTGAGCTCTTTAAGAAACAGACAACAAGTCACGGTACCCTGAATGTTCTTACACAGAAACTGCTGTCTACACCTCAGACTCCTGGAGGACAGAGTCCCTAGAGTCCTGAGCAGAAGAAAACATGCATGTTCAAGACTCATAAGCACACTGCCAACTGCTTTCCCAAATGCCACGCCAAGCAGGCACCACTGGGACCAGCACTAGGGGCTCCACCATGGTACCCCAGAGCTGCCTCTCTGCCTCTGACAATGCCCAGTCTCAGGTCACACAAGGTGTTTGCTTTGGCCAAGGGCCCTACTTCCCCACAAGATGGGCCTGCTCATCCAGATGATGTCCTCAAGTGTTACCAAAGAACAGGAAGTGACGCTAAACACCTCGAGAGTCCCAGGGCTGGCCTGTCACCTGCCTGACTGCCTGCTGAAGTTCTGAGTGTGGCTCCCACATCTCCTGGCTGAGGACACACGTGAGTCAGTGGAGGGCTACCGGTGGCCCAATGGAAACACCGGCGCTCGCTGATTCCCTTTCTTAGCAAATCCACTTACTTCTGTGAATTACATATTGATGTTCAAGTACCTCTGGGCAGGCAGATTCACATTTGCCAGACAAAAGGCACAGGGATGTCACACTGTATCATAACAACTGATCCAAGGATGCCTCAGTGACATGAGGGACCTTCTGGCTGAAGGGCGGCTAGGGTGGCTTTTCTCCTAGGGTGAGAGCTCTGAGCAGCGCTTTCTGCAAGATGCCCTCCGTGGACTTGTCTTTGCCCTTGCCAGCCTTGGGAACATGCTTACCATTTTTTTGTTGTCCTGCTTGTTAATGCTGACCATAGACTCCTTTATTACAATGTGAGTGATTTCAGGAAAGTAAGAAAAATTGTTCCACTCCTCTCGGAGTTTGTTTTTCTCCTCATCTTTCTTGAGCTTATTTTCCAGTTTCTTCCGCTTCAGTTTACTTTTTTCTTTTTCAACAGGCACAACCTGGCAAGATGCATAAATGAAGGAGTTAGCTTGGCTTTCTCAGTTTCCACTGGCAAAGGGTCCATGTTCTGCCAAACCGATGCAGGGCCTAGGCCCACGGACGGGGGGAAGCTAGCTTGGACCCAGGGAGGAACGGAAGGAGTTGGCACCCAGAGTCTTCAGACAGAGGACTGAGTCTGCCAGCGTATCTTAGGGTTTCCCATCTGAAGAGCACCTTCATGAGCACACCGACCCAGCTTTCCACTTGCCCCATATGTGCAGGGAAACTGGGAGAGAACAGGGGCTGCCCAGCAACCCCACATCTGCAGCCACTTTCCCTGGCTTGCAGGCTGACACAGGTGCTCCAACCAAGGCCGAGATGCAGTAAGACCAGGCAGAACACAAGCTCTCTCCTCCTGTCATCCGCTGGGATTCTGAAGGATATACATGTCATCAACACAGGAACACAAGTGCGTGTGCAACAGTTTCGACATGCTGTGGAGCATGAGCCCTGGAGGCTGAGAGGGTAGGCTGCTATCTCAGGCAGTCACCTAACTAGCTAGGCCAGTTACCTGAATCTTCACTTCTGCACCGAGCACACAAGGCTGTTGAAGGTATGTGCTCATGAACACAGCACCCACTATGGAGGAAGCTCTCAGTTCTGCCAGGTCTCACCACTTTTGGATGAGAACAAAACAGAGGAAGAAAGTGAATCTTTCATTCACTTTACCATTATTACTTAGAGTAATAATCATTATAGTAGTTGTAAAATTTTTTTTTTTTTTATCCAACACTTATTCTGTGCCAGGCTCTGTACTAAATACCATTCAGTTCTCTCAAAAATGTAGTGCCATGGTTTAGGTACTTCCCTCCGGCAGATGAGTAATACCTACCTCACACAGAAGAAATAACCCCCCCAAGGGCATGTAACTGTAACACATACAGCCAGAATTTCTCTCTCTCCTACTCAGGCCCAAAGCCCCGTGCTCTTAAACCGCTGGTGCCTCATCCGAAGATCACCTCAATAAAGAAGCCTTATCCTGCAATATCACTGAGCCTGTTCCACGGAGCCAGTGGCCTGAGTTCAATTACTGATACCTCTGCTTTCTTGTTACCCCTTGGTCATTTCTCAGTTTCTCTGTGACTCAGAGTTTATGTGCACTTGGGTAGGGCATAGTGTTAGTACTTCTCTCCTCAAAGGGTTTTGATTTTACTTTTAGAACTGAATAAAGTAATAGGTGTCAAATGCTCAAAAAGTACTTGGCACATGTAAGCACTTAGTAAATGTTGCTATTATTATATAACCATGCTATTACTGTATCTCCCTATGGTGTTCAATAAGTACTTATTTAGACTTTGTGCCCATGGATACAAATAAAAGATGCACAGCACACAGTGTCCAGACTACACACACAGCCCAAGGAAGCAGCCCCACGGGGTGACCCATGTTGTACTTGACACTGGCCAGCTTTAGCCACTTACATTTGGTTTCTGCCTCCACTGGATCCCGAGATTTCCAGTCACCATCACTTCATAGTAGACAACAATTCCGCTGTCATTTGAATGAAACCAATTTATCTCATTTTCTGATGAGATCAGCAACTTGGAAGTCTCAAATATTTCAGCACCATAATGTTTTGTCAAAGTCTCCAAAGTCGCCAGATATTTCACCTTCAGGTCGTGTGTAGACACACTGCCATCACAAATGGTCTTGTTGTTGAATTCCTTCAGGAAATCCTTGAAAACATTATTAATCCGCATCCTGGTGAGCAGGTTCCTCTGTCTGATTGATTTATTCAATGTTTCTGGAATATACCGCTTATAGCTAAAAGAAAATAGGAAAACATACTATTTTTCATGTACAGTACAGGTTAGCAGAACACACATTTTAGAGACAAATTGAAGTTTACGGATTTTCCTTCTGCATGTTACCAAATATGGAAGGCAGATCTACCCTGGAATAAAGCACAAAAGATGACATGGAGACACGTGGTGGGAGTGGGGTGGGAGCGTGGGCTGGGAGGCAACTGGGAAAGTACGTGTCCACAGGCTGCACTAAAAGGAGAACCACCAACACTGACTTCAGGTACACTCACCACTAATACTACTGGTTAGAAAAACAGTTTCGAAGCTATCACGAGTGATTTCTCTCCAGGTGTGATTATTAATTATACCTTATGAGTTCTATTTAAATGTGCTAATTTTTCATAAAAACATTTTTATAACTGGGAAAAATACACAACAGCTAATCAAATAAAGGCTCACTGTCCACCATGTGAGCATGTCCCAAATACATTATTAATAGCATCAACAGGAAAATTGAAAGACTAGCTACATCTAGGTGTATGGGGAAGGCATCTTAGACAAACAGAATATCAACAAAGTGAGCAATACTAAAACAGGAGTCAGCTTTAAGAAGTGCATGATGAGTGCAGGTGTTTGGCTTACTGGTTACGATGCCCATACCCACAAGGGAGTGCTTGTGTTAAACTCTTGGCTCTGGCTCCTGACTCCTGTTTCCCATCAATGTGCACCCTGGAAAGCAACAATGATGGCTCATGCAGTTGGGTTTCTGCCATCAACAAGTGAGCCCTGGATTGAGTTCTTCATTCCTGGCTCCAGTCCTGGCCCATTTGGGCACTGTGGGTGGGCATGTGGGAGTGAACCAGCAGTATTTGTCAATAAAGATCAGGTATAAGCAGATAATTATTCTAATAAACTTTCTTTAAATGTATGGCCAAACAAATGACTGATATGCTTATGACTCCGAGGTCTGAGACAGAACCTGCCCCACAATGATCCCTGTGACACTGGAGTATATTCAACAAATAGTACAATTTTTAGCTTGTTAAAATATCAGAGAAAATTGCAGTTGTTTCCCACCAATGATACTGTTCAGTGAATACAATTTTTTAAAGGTGATAGTTGATTTGGTGAATATTTGGTGCAGCAGTTAAGATGCTATGAGAGATGCCTAACTCCACGCTGAGACTGAAAATCCCCACTCCATTTCAATTCAGCATCCTGTTAACGCATACCCTGGGAGGTGGCAGGTGATGGCTCAAGTACATGGGCCTCTGCCACTCATGTGGGACACCTGAACTGAGTTCCTGGCTCCTGGTTTTAACCTGGCCCAGCCCTGGCTGCTGCACACTGAGTAATAAACAAGCAGATGGGAGACATTTCTGTCAATGTCACTCTACCTTTCAAATAAGTAACAATAAACAAATAACACTTTAAAACTACTAAATCCAAACTGTTTGAAAGTACATGTAGGGGCTGGCACTGCAGTGTAGTCTAAAGTCACTGCCTGGGACACTGGCATCCCATATGGGTGCCCTTTGAGTTCAGGCTGTGCACTTCCAACCCAGCTCCTTGCGAATGCACCTGGGAAAGCAGCACATGATGGTCCATAATATTTGGGAGCTGCTGGACCTCCTCCATGAGAGACTCAGGTGAAGCTCCTGACTTCTAGCTTTGGCAGTGCCCAAACCTGGCTGTTACAGTCATGTGAGGTGTGAACTAGTGGATGGAGGATTTCTCTCTCTCTCTCTCTCTCTCTGCCTTTCAAATAAATAGATCTTGAAAAAGGAAACTACAGAGAAAGATAAAAATGGATCATCCTTCACATCAGGATGATCGTTGGGAATCTAGGCTGGGAACTGGAGGGCTATGTTGGGAAGGATTTTGAAGACAGGTGCAGAATCAAAGGAAAAGCCACAGCGCTAGAGACAAGGGTATGAGGGGAAGTAAAAGGCACATGAGTTACTAATTGGATTGATATCCTTTTCCCAGGTATTTCACTCTACTGCAAAATGTTTTAGCAAAAAACCAACATTCAAAATCACAACACAATTATAATTATGCTACCTGTTACAAAAGGTCTAAACAAGATTCCTGGTTTGCAGAGAGCAGGGGTCAAGCCAATGCCAGCAGCAGTTAAATGGAGAGGTTTGAAAACACGAAGGGTGATGGAAGCCCCATGATCAGTTCCTTGGCCAGCAGGGGTGTTTACCTGATTTCCCTGGGGAGCTCAGGCAACTGCAGCTTCTTCATCATGGCATAGTGTGAGATAGCCAGGACGGCCATCCCGAGGCACTCATTTTCAATGTCATGTCCATCCTGTTCTGTCTTGGCATCTCGAATAGGAGCCAGGCATTTGACCAAATCATACTGTCCCTTTAGAGCAAAGGTGAGAAAAAAGTGAACCCCCAATTAAGGTTCCAAAGCCCACCCATGCTTTTTATCTAGAGAAGTTAGTTACCCACACAGGAAATATTAGTCAGAGAAGGAGCACAGCAATGAGATTCAAAAGATTTGTAGTTTCTCTAGCATTGAAGGAACTCGGCAACGTTCTCAATAGGATAATTCATTTGTTCAACAAATGCTGAGTTTTATGATACATGCCAGTGAACAGTACAAATATGCGAAGCCCCTGCATGGGGCATGTTGGATAAATGACAGTGAAAAACTGTGACTAGGCCTACTCCACGCCAGAGCACAGGAAGGTGATGTTGGGCTGGGCTGGGCTGCGATTATTATTCATCAGTTCCTGCACTGCAAAGGCCAAGTTTGCGGCTATCAAGTTGACAGGGCATCACCTCCCAATCTGATGAAGACCTTGTCAAAGGAGGAATTCATGTTCTATGGCATATCACCACCACATCTGAGATGTTTCATAGCTGCTGCTCAAGTTTCCAGTAGTGGAAAGTTGCACTGATATGTCTCCCTTCACCAATGGGGGTACAGAGCATTCCAGCAGCGAAGGTGTTTTTAAAAGACAAAAATAAAGCAAGACTCAACAGGGACAAGCCCACCCCATACCAGGGTGACAGACTTTGTGTCCTGGCTCTGCTCCCAAATTCTAGCTTCCTGCTAATATTCATCCCTGGAGGCAGCAGGCGATGGCTCAGGTGGCTGGGTCCCTACGACCCATACGGGAGACCCGGATTGAGTTCTCAGCTCCCAGGTGCTTGGGGAGCTCCCTCTCCCTTTGTCTTTTCTCTCTCTGCCTCAAAATAACAATTTTTTTAAAAAAATTAAAAAAATTTCACAAAGAAGCAGTGCCCATCATATGCTTCATACAGAGTAATGATGATAATGTCAACACTGCTTCCTATTCACTGAACCTTAACCTCAGGGCTTGTCACTGTGCTTGATTCTTTTTATTTATCATTTATTTTATTCCAATAATAGTTCTGTGTGGTTTTATAAAGACCATCTCTAATAAAGGAGGAATCTAAGGCACTAAAACGTTAAAATACTCCCATTCATTTGTTCACTTGCAACTAAAAAAAGAAAAAAGAAAAAAAGAAAAAAGAATCATAGGCCAAATGTTCCTCTAGGTGCCAAGGACACATGAAGGATAAACAATAAATGAGTAGAAATGTGACAAAAAAGCAGCTTAGGACAGGCCTAGCAGTTAAGATACCCATGTCCAATATTAGACAGGTTAGATTTGTTACCTGCTTCCAGTTTCCTGCAGGTGAGGACAGTGGGAAACACAGATGATGACTCAAGTAACTGGGTTCCTGTGACTCACATGGGAGACCTGGGTTAAGTGCCAGGCTCCCAGCTTTCTCTCAGCCCAACCTTTGCCACTGTGGACACTTGGGAAGTGAACCAGTGAAACAGAGATCTATCTGTTTCTGAAATAAATAATTTAAAATAGGGCTCGGTATGCAGTGAGTTAATCTGCTGCCTATGACACAGGCAACCCACATGAGGATAGTTCAAATCCTAGCTGTTCAACTTCTGATCCAGCTCTCTGCTAACGTGCCTTGGAAAGCAGTGGAAGATGGCCCAAGTACTTGGCTGCGGCCACCCATGTGGGAGATCTGCATGGAATTCTGAACTTATGGCTTCATCCTGGCGCAGCCCCAAATGTCATGGCTTTCCAGGGAATGAATCAACAGACCTCTTATTTCACACCTGATCTTAGTCAAAAGACCGAGAAGCAATCAGATGTGTTCTTCCTGCTACAGCTCTTTCAAATAAATAAATGTCTTAAATTTCATGATGGTTTATATAAAATAATACAAACAGTAAGACAATTGCAAAAATGACAGTTATATGACAAAAGTTTGCATGTTAAAATCTGGAAGCATAGGGTCCAGCACAATATTCTAGTGGCTAAATTCTCACCTTGTATGAGCCAGGATCCCATAAGGGCACCAATTCATGTCCTGGCTGCTCTGTTTCCCATCCAGCTCCCTGCTCCTATTTCTAACTTCCCTTCTAGCTTTTCTAGACTCTACACTTCCTAGGTCAGTCCCAGTGTGACTCAAGGGCCACATTCATTCCTCATAAACATTGTCAACTGTCAAGTAGTGCCTTCGTCAATGTCGCTGAACTATTCTTTCCCTCCAGCACAGCTTCCCTCTGCCACAAGATACTGCAAAGGAAAGGGACAGTGCTAAGAGGTCGGGGGAGAATGGAACAGTGAGGAAGTGAGGCCTGGAACTCCCGCGAGTGGATGATGAGCCCTTCCCTCCTCAAGGGGCACATCCAGGTATGGCAACAGGTCTCACAGCATCCTTGCATGACTAAGTTCAGTGCCTGAAGGAATCTGAGCACTGAATGGCCTCCCCCATCCCTACATACACATAAACTCTGAGTTCGACTGGGCCCACATTTCCCACCTGAGCAAACAGATATTCCAGAGAGCTGGCATCAAGGAGAGGGGTTGCATCTGGAACCTTCTTTTTCTCATAACCATTTTTCTGCTTCTTCGGAGAATGTCGCCACACAGACTGTTCACTGTCATTGGTTCCATGCCAGTTGGTGAAATAGAATCTGGAAGGCAGAAAAATGGATGCCAACTGTGAACCTAGCAGGTTGGTTTGACCCAGAGTGGCCAGCGGGGTAGGCTGAACTGCTCTGAGGGGCGAACAGATGAACCCTGCACCCTGCAACACCACACTGCTGAAGGCATTTTGTGAGCACAGACCTCCAGCATCTCCTCTCCAACTCAGAGAGATAAATGACACCCTAAAGACCACAGAGATGAGCTCCTCTGGCCACTCTGTCTTCCTCAACAGAACAACTGCTGACTCCAAGACACTGGCCCTGCATCTCCCCAGACCTTCACCAACAGCTGCTTGCTGAAGCCACTCCGCCTTGGCTACAACCTCTTTCAGCTGCATTTAACATCCCTGACAACTGATTCTGTCACACAGCCAAGACAGACAGTTCACATGTCAGGACTTTCCATTTCTCAGACTACTGTTGTTACACTGAAGGGATTTTAAAAAGGAAGCTATCTAGATGGAACCACCTATTTCCTAACCAGCACCAGACAAAGTGTCCTGAATCAGAATACACCTCACATATAACTATTTGATCATGACTGCACCTCTACAAGATAGGTTTCAGTTACTTCCATTTTACAGAGAGGAAAATCAAGATTTCAAGATTTCAAGGTGACCTAAGACTGCAAGTCTGTTCTGTTTACTACTTTCCTCTTCTGTCAGTGGCAGCAAGTTCTGGAATTGTATGAAAGGGACTGAACAAAGCTGGCCCTCTCCAACCCTAGGCAACACTCAGCTGCTACCTGATCTCTCCGCCTTGACAAGCTCATGATCAAATGTAATAACAACCACATCACGCAGAAGCAACAAATTAAAATGCCTCCTCCCTCCCCCAGCCAAGAAGAACTGCCATTAAACCAAGACGTCTGTCACTGAGACATACTTGCAAAGCCTATGGGGCTTGTTGGGTCCCGAAGGCTGAGGCTGTCCGGCAAGGTTCCCTCCTGAGTGGCCTGCCTGCAGCAGTAATCAGTGATGCCCAACAATACACAGCAACATGACAACTGGGCACCTGTCACCAACAGGACTACAAACTGACTTTCCTGGGACTCATATACTGCCTCCTTCCATAAAACAAAAGTATTAAAAGTTATATTTCACAACTGTCTGGGTACAAAAATGAGAACAGTCCATCCTGGACTATGTAGTCAATTACTTCTATCATCTTTCCTGATTTTAAATAAAATTAAAACATTTCATGGGCTCTTAATAACTTCCTGGGCCCTAGGACCTGTACCTAATGGGTAAATCAGAGGTAGATAATCTTTGTCTGCCAAGGGCCATTTAAGCAAAATCATTCACAGGTCATAAAAATCAGCTTCAAAATTAGCCTCCTTGGGTCTGGCATGATAGCGTAGCAGTTAAAGTTCTCGCTTTGAACACACTGGTTCTAATTCCGGTGACCCCACTTCAAATCCAGCTCCCTGCCTGTGGCCTGGAAAGCAGTCCAGGATGGCCTAAAGCTTTGGGACACTGCATCCAGTGGGAGACCCAGAAGAAATTCCTGGCTCCTGGTTTCAGATTGGTTCAGCCCCAGCTGTTGCAGCCCCTTGGGGAATGAACCATCGGACAAAAGAACTTCCTCTCTGTCTCTCCTCGTCTCTGTATATCTGCCTTCCCAATAAAAATAAATAAATCTTTAAAAAAAAAAAAAGTCGCCTCCTTGGATTCTCAGCATGGCTGCTCCACTTTCCATTCAGCTGCCTACTGATGGCTTGGCAAAGCGGCACATGACGGCCAAAGTACTTGGGTCCCTGCACCCACATGGGAGAACTAGAAGAAGCTACTGGCTCCAGACTGGCCCAGCTATGGCCACTGCAGCCATTTGGGAAGTAAACCAGCAGATGGAAGTTCTTTCCCATGCTAATTCTACCTTTCAAATAAAATAAACCTTTCAAAAAATTAGCCTGCCTGAGATTTACTGAGTTTTGAGTCCCACCTGTGGTTGCTTTGGCAGGGCCAAACCAAAGGGTTTCATGGATATTATAAGGCTCATGGACTAAACACTTCCTACCCCAAGGATAAGTATATTATCCCATCTGAGGGATAAGATATAACAAAGTATCCAGAGTCCAGTGTTGTGGTGTAGCAGGTAAGGTCATTGCCAGCGGTGCCAGCATCCCATATAGGCTCCAATTTGACCCTGGCTGTTCCACTTCATATCCAGCTCTTCGCTATATGAACCTGGGAAAGCAGCAGAAGACAGCCTAAGTGCTTGGGCCCTTGATCCGCATGGGAGACCTAGACAAAACCCCTGGATTCTGACTTCAGCACAGCACAACCACAACTGTAGCGATCATTTGATGAGTGAATCAGGGGATGGAAGATCTATCGCTTCCTTTCTTATGTTCTCTGTACCAAGAAATGCCAAAGAGGAAACAAAGAAAGGTAGCAGTGAGGACAGAATGGGTCAGAGAAGGGAAGCATATACCCAAGTAACTAAATGCCAGGCTACAGAGCCTGAACCACATGCAGCAGGAAGAGGGAAGACAAGGGTTAAGCTGTTATAGTGCAAGATGCCAGCACCTGCGTGGAGGCCTCCTGGAGGGCTGAAACAGGAGAAGCCAGGACACAAGCAGATGCATATGGAAAAAACATAATAATAAAGCAAAGATCACAGCTGTCTTTCTCACCACTGAATTTCTGGCACGTAACAGGTGCTTAATACATGCTTGACAGATAAACAACAAATAAGCAAACTCAGGGAGGAAGAATCCACACGAGGAGAAAAAAGGATGAATAAATAAGTTGCTTTAAAAGTAAAAACAAATAAGCACTGTAACTTTCTACCATTCTGTACAGCCCACCTTCCTGGTAACTTAGGACAGTGACTCACACACATTCACCCTCCCAAAAGGTCCGTGTAACTACAGAACCCACTGCTGCACACACAAAGCTGGTGGCCTGTCCCCCTGCCCTCCACGTGTGTGAGAGCAGATCCGACACTAGTAGACCCATCTTGCATTTGCAGATATTCTACAGAACAAATTCTACTTCAGTTTCTATAGAATGTCTTAATGGACTGTGAATTTTACTTGGATTAAAAGAAAACAAACAAGAAATATTTCCTTTAAGAAAAAGAATAGACATAGTATGAAACAATTACTATCTGTAAATAGAAATCACTATTTATAAACAGAAGGTCATAATTAAAGTATATGCCCAAAAACAGAGCTGGGATTCCACTGAAATAATCACATTTATGGTGAGATTATGAGGTTTCAAAATTTTTGTAGCTTTTTTGTAATGCAAATGTTTTCACTTATGGTGTATTTTTTTTTCCAAGTTCAAAGAACCTGTGGTAACCAAGCAATATCCTGTTGAAGTTCAATGTCAGGTACAAAGTCAAGGTGACAAAAGTGAGGCAGCTATATACTTCCTGACAGCTACCATAAAGACAGAGCAGGCGAAGTCAGCTTCTCACCATGAGGCATCCATGTGACCAAAAAGAATACCTCTCAGAGGGTCATGGTGCAGGCTAGAATTAGACACATAAATTGAAGTAACTCCTTCCCCTTCAGGGTGAGGGGACACACATTTTCCTAATGAAAAAGTGGGAGGGTTGAATCAGGAAAGCTCAGTCCTCTTCTAAGACCGAGGAGAAAGCAAACAGAACCCAATGACCTGCCACACTCCCAGATGTGGACTCTAAGTCTACATTTTGCTGAGTACACAGCAATTTCTGAGGCCACAGAAAACAAGACAGCATCAAACAGAGCCAAACAAAGTCAGAGGGCTCAGCTGCGAGGTAAGTACAGGAACAAGAGGTAGTTGGTTCCAGGAAGACCATACAAATCAGACCTGGATTCAATAACTAGAAAAACATCTCAAGGGTCCACAACATAGTCAATAAAGTTCCTATCTGGGATACTGGCATCCCATATGGGCACTAGTTCTAGTCCTGGCTGCTCCACTTCCATCCAACTCCTCACTAACGGCCTGGGGAAGGCAGCAGAAATGGCTCAGGTGCTTGGCCCCCTGTCACCCACATGGGAGACTCGGAAGAAGCTCCTGGATCCTGGCTTTGGCTTGGCCAAGCCCCAGCCATTACAGCCACTGGGGAATGCAGCAGATGAAGAGCTCAGCGTCTCTCCTCTTTCTGTAGCTCTTTCAAATCAATAAATGAATCTTTTCGGAGGAGAGGAGGGGGAGGGAGGACAAGAGACTCTTTTTCAAAAGGGTTTAATCTTATTGTAGGTTTTGGTGTCAAATACATACTGCTTGGTGGTTAATACAACGATTCTAGTTACCAAACATACACACTTACCAATTCAAGACATTGCAGCTGCTGTTCAAGTGTTAATTGTCTAGTCACCTGGGAAGACACTAAGCCCCTTAGCAAAGTGTCAACAGTCACCTTGAGAGAGATTACAATCCCACAACCAAACACGCTTGGGGAGTGAATCAAAACAACTACCCTGGAGAGCAAAAACCTACTCAGTTTTTCTAGAAGCCACCATACACAGGGTCTCTCAAGCTTTTTAACTGCAAAATGACCTAATACCCGTGTTATGTATTACATAGCTCAAAAGCTTTAAAACCAATATGCCTACATACATACATACATACATATGCTGATTCTATCGGTTCTCAAAAAGAACAAAAAATCTGGTCACTAAATTAAACTCATACCCAAGGATTCACTGTTTGAAGAGGCACAGTGCAGGTACCTGACTGTATTCAAAATATCCTGCAATACTAAAGATTTCTTTCAAAACGTGGCAAAAGAGGGTGATGAAACTCATCTTGAGCTGCCTTCCAAATACAGGAGAAGTCCTTACTCACACCAAGCAAACACAAAAGTCACAAATTACAAAAATGACTATAATACCTCTCAGTAGGTGACTCAGGGCCCCAGGCTAATGGCTGTCCTGCACCACACAAGGAGGCCAGGCAGGCAGCAGCTCTTTTTTATTATTTTTATTTTTATTTTAAATTTTGAATTATATGGTACAATTCTGTATAGTCTGGGATTCCATTCCTCTCAATTCCTACCCCCCAATGGATTTTCCCCATATTGTCACAATAGTACATTCCTTCATAAGGAGTTACAGTTCCATCAGTCTGCTACTTAAGGGTGCCCATACCTCATCCGGTAGTGCAGCCGAAGGGACGTCTTGTCATCAACAGTGATGGTACGATTCGGTGCATACCAGAGCTTGGTGCTCTCATCAAACAAGGCAAAGAGGTTGTGACATAGAGGAGAGATACCTAGGGAGAGGGAACAAACACATTAAGAAATCAAAGGGACAAACACTTGGTCACAGGCTTTCAATGCCTGACACATGAAAAGATAAGGAATTCTCTCATGTAGACAGGATCTAGGAAACCAGTATTCTCTAAGGGTCACTCTAATTTCCCACCATGTTCTGTCAGGCAGTTCCAATCATAATAATCAAGAATCACTGGGGCCTGGCAGCGTGGCCCAGTGGCTAAAGTCCTCGCCCTGAATGCACCGGGATCCCATATAGGCGTCGGTTCTAATCCTGGCAGCTTCACTTCCCATCCAGCTCCCTGCTTGTGGCCTGGGACAGCAGTCCAGGACGGCCCAAAGCTTTGGGATCCTGCACCCACGTGGGATACCCGGAAAACGTTCCTGCCTCTTGGGTTCGGACTGTCGCAGCACTGGCCATTGTGCTCACTTGGGGAGTGAATCATCAGACGGAAGATCTTCCTCTCTGTCTCTCCTCCTTTCTATATATCTGACTTTGTAATAAAAAATAAATAAATCTTAAAAAACAAAAAACAAGAATCACTGGAACTGGTTTTGAGTCCTGGCTATTCCACTCCCCATCTAGCTACCTGATAACATGCCTGGGAAAGCAGTAGAGGAAGGCCAAAATGCTTGGGCTGGTGGGAGACCCGCTAGACACTACTGGGCTTGAACTGGTTCACTTGTAGCTGCTGCGGCCCTTTGGAGATTGAACCAGCAGATGCAAGATCTCTCTCTTCTCAGTCTTTCCATCACTCTGTCTGTAACTCTGCCTTTCTTTCTTTCTTTCTAAGATTTATTTTTATTATTTTTTTATTGGAAAGGCGGATATACAGAGAGGAAGATCTTCCGTCCAATGATTCACTCCCTAAGTGAGTGCAACGGCCCTATGCTACGCCGGTCCGAAGGCAGGAGCCTCTTCCGGGTCTCCCACACGGGTGCAGGGTCCCAAAGCTTTGGGCCATCCTCGACTGCCCTCCCGGGCCACAGGCAGGGAGCTGGAAGGGAAGCGGGGCTGCCGGGATTAGAACCGGCACCCATATGGGATCCCGGGCGTGCAAGGCGAGGACCTTAACCACTTGCGCCACCGCGCCGGGCCCTAACTCTGCCTTTCAAATAAATAAAACAAATCTTAAAAAGAAGAAGAAGGGGGTCCAGGCCTTGGGGTTGGAGGCGGCTTCCAGCTCCCCACAGTGTGGCGGCTGTTGGGGGTTGCTCCTGCCAGGCTGGACCCAAGGCTGCGGACTCAGGCCAAAGCCACTGCCGAAACGCAGTGATTGAGTCCCTGGCTTTCTCCAGGCCCAAAATAAATCTTCCCTCAGGGTGAGTACACAATAAGAGAGCCTTGGGAACTGGATTAAAGTCCTAGCTCCGCCTTGCCACCAATACCTTGCAGTAGGACAAGTCTGGCGAAGGTCTGGGCCTTGGAGTTAGGGGCGGCTTGCAGCTTCCTGCAGTGTGGCGGCTGTGGGGGGGTGCCCCTGCTGGGCCGGACCCAATGCTGGGGACTCAGGCCAAAGCCACTGCCGATAGGCAGTGACTGAGTCCTTGGCTTTGGGCTGCCAGAGCACCAAATGGTGCAAGACTCTGCCTGCTGACTGCCCAGTGACAAGCTCTGGGTTTTTAGGGTATGAAATTGCTGCTTAGGGACGCCCATGAATAAGGCAGCTTTAGTGTAGGTGAGAGATGAATTCTGGGTGATTCCCAGTAGCAGGGTCATGAAACTTTCAGCCAAGCGTGGGGACTGAGACCTAATGGTTTATAGGGGAGTGTCCATAAGATCTATTTGGGCCAGACTGATTCACCAGCCAAATCAGGAATCCTGAGATGGACTGGTATCATAGAGCACCACGACTGCCACACACCAGTCCACACGAAAGCTATGGATGGGGGCCTGTCTGGCAGGAATAGATACCATACTTGACTGGGTGGTGGAATAGTGGACGGGTCACATTTGGCAGGGTCAAGACACTAACCATCACAAAAGAGAACCAGGTCCGGGGGTAAACTAGGTGGAGAAGTGTGGGCCCAACCAACCCTGTGGAAATACAAGTCCTGTAGGTTAGCTCGTGAGCTGGGGTGGCAATGGGCTGAGCTAGGAGTGACCATGGCACCTGCCATCACTTACGGGTAAAGGAACTGATAGCAGTCTGGGCAGGTCAAGGCAGCAGCACCCAAAGGTGCATCCTAAAATAGGATTTGGAGTGGGCCAAGCTGCAACTGGAAGGGGGCGGACTGGGCAGGGCTGAGCAAACCTCTACTCACAAAATACAGAAATCAGGATGGAGCACATGTCATTCCGACCTAGGCTCTTTTCCCAACTGGTCTTCATGAGGCAGGGATGCTACGGCAGAGTATTGAAGGTAAAGGCTGAATCAGGTGAGGGGCTAAGCCAACTGGGTCAGAGTACCCACTGGCATGTGTGCAATCTAGGGCTGGGAATAGACTCAGTTGGGAAGCTGTGAGAGTGCACACTTGCTGGGTTGGGATTCCCATGAGAGGGTGCCAGGGCTTGTTCTGGTTTGTGTTCTGCTCTGAATATGGCTGCAATCTCCCTAGGCACAATTGTGGACTGGGGCTGGGCACACCAAGCTGGGCCAGACACCTTCACCATCTGGTGCTCTGGAGAACCTGGGTAGATGTAGGATGGACTAGGCTGGGTCTCTGCCCCTACTAAGCCATGTGTGAGCAGTGTCTGGGTATGGACGAGCCCTGGCTGGGGTGAAACAGCCAACACCAATAACTGGAATTGATTGAAGGCCAGCAAGGGGGGCTGGCCCATAGAAACACCAGTACACACAAGGCCTGGCATAAGGGAGAGGTTCCGAAGGACGAGCTTGGGAAACTCTTCTGTCGGGACTCAGTCCCTGCAGGTGAGCACAAGAACCATGATAGGGAGCAACCCAGACCAGGCCAGAGGAAGATATCCACCGGCCTGCATTTGGCATAGGTCAGGGGCAGACCTGTCTGAACCAGTTCACATCACCCACTGGTGAATCTGAGCGCCAGCATAGAGTGTGGGTCAGGCCAATTTTGGTCACAACACATACCAGTGCACATTAAGGAATGCCAAGGTGAGATGAGCCGTACCAAATGTGGTTGCCGTGCCCAAACAGCACATGTGAGAATGGGGGGCGGGAGGGGGGCGGGGGAGGAAGGCAAAGCTGGCAGGGGAATGTGGGCTCTCCTGCTAGACAACCACTCCCACTGGAGAGCATGAGTTGGGATGGGGGCAGACCAGACCAGGCAGAGCTACAACACGTGTGGGCCTCATGTGAGCTAGACTGGGGAAAAGCCAGGTTGGGCTGACTGTTCCAACTGGTGCAAGCAAAAATTAGAGTAGGTGAGGATTGGTTGGGCTTAGCCGCAGCATCGGCTGGCAGAGGCTGGCACTGGGGTTTAATCTGTTACATTAAATGCCAAAACCACCTGAAGAGTGCATAATCTGGGAATGGGAGTAGCCTTGTAGGAAATAGTGGGCACCTCCCTCGGGGGTTACCACTCCCACTGGAGAGCATGAAAACCAGGACAGGAGCAGGGGTGGCTAGACAGAAAGGAACCTGCCAGTATGTGTGTAGGCTGGATACTAGGTTGGTTGGGTTGAACTAGGCTTCAATGCCCACTGACAAGTACAAGAGCTAAATGGGATGTGGGACAGACTGAACAAGTCTGCAGTACATACTGGCATGCATGGGAACCAGGGTAGGGAGCAGGTCTGGTGGAGGTGATGGGGAGTCGCCCCAACTAGGCTGCAGCTCCCTCTGGTTTGTGTGAGGACCAAGTATGAAGTGGACAGGATCGAGCTGGACTACAACACCCATTGGTTCAAGTGGAAGACAGGGCTGGAAACAGAACTGACCCAGCAATTGTAATGACCAGCATGTGCATAAGCTGATTGGGGCGACGGACTGTGCCAGACTCTGTATGGCAAATTCACATACGAATCAGGTCTGGGATCACTTCAGACAAAGTTTCTTTGGAAATCCCTTGAACTGAACTGCTGGACTCAGAACTCCAACCATGAAGAGACTATGTCAGCCAGTGGAGTCTGAATAGGTTTCATCACGATTGGAATGGCGAGATTGGCAGCAATTCAGACCTACTAAACTATCAAAACTGCTTGAGCAGGACCCTCAGAGTGTGCCTCACATCGGGGACCTGCGATGGGTGGGAGGCTGGGTGGAGCTTTTCTCTTTGTTTCTCCCCTGACCCCAGATACAGGGAAAAAAAATGATATTAGTGTGGAAAAAATATAATAAAATCAATTTACTTGGATGTAAAAAAAAAAAGAAGAGGAGGAGGAAGAAGATGAAGAAGAGGAAGACGTGAGGAGGAGGAAGAGCAAGAACCACAGGATCAGTGTCATGGCATAGCACACTAGGCTTCAGCCTATGTCATTAGTATCCCATATGAGTGCCATTTGAATCCCATCACTTCCGATCCAGCTCCCCACTGATATGCCTGGGAAGGCAGGAATGGAGTTCCTGACTTCAGTCTGGCCTAGACCCAGTGAGTATAACTTGGAGAGTGAAGCAGTGCATTGAAGCTCTTTATAACCCTGCCTTTCAAACAAATACATACACATATTTTAAGGAAGGAGGAAAAGAGAGCAAGCGAGCAAAAGAACAAAGAACCATGGCTCCCCAGGAATACACCCTATAGTTTCTAGAAAATCAGATTAAAATCATTCAAAATTCAAAGTCTGATGATAGCTTTCATTATAGGCACTTATAATACACTCTTACCAATTTCTACTTTAAAAAGTAGAAAACTAAGGGATTCACATCTCCTACCTGATAAGCACGTGGATATCACAACTGGAAATACTCTTACTGTTTGGGAAATCTTCTATCTATTTCCTACAGAAAATGTTGAAGCAATTGTAACATACTGTGATTAAACATGCAAAGAAGTTCCTGGCAGTAGCACACAAAACATACATTAGAATAAGTAATAACCAAAGTGATTCTTGTCACTAATTAAAATCTATCACCATTAA